GCAGTCAATGACACCTGAGTTTGGAAGCGTGAATTTTGCACACATAACTGATTTTGCAGGTAGTAATACTTATCCAACTCTTGGTGGAAGTGATAATCTGAGTGATGATTATAGCTTTTTTGGTAGTGGAGCCACAAGTCACATGACTCACAACCTTTCTCTGTTTGTTAACACTAAAACAGTTACTTCAAAACTCCAATCAGTCTTCCAGATGGAACTTTACAATATGTAGAGCAAGTAGGACATATTCCTTTGAATTCCAGACTTACTCTGAAAGATGCTTTATATGTGCCTTTTTTTAAAATACAATCTTATTTTAGTCAAAAAATTGGTTCAAACAGAGAAGATTTGCTTTTCTTTTTTTGGCTGATTTATGCATCTTACAGGACCTAGTGACTGATAAAATTCTTGGAATTGGCTTGGTGGTCAAGGATCTTTATGCTCTCACCTAACAGTCCTTCAATCCTTTCCATATTAGAAAGCAAATTAAGAGTCATTTGCCTCATTTGTTACTTCATTCAGAAATTAATTCATATTTGTACTTAGTCAATTCAGCCTTCAAAAATGTAGCCCTAAGTGTTCAATGGCATTCTAGGCTTGGTCACCCTTCGAATAATGTACTTAGTCATATTTCAGATTCTTCTATTGTCTGTAATAAACAAGATGGCAATTGTGAAGGTTGTCCACTTGCTAAACAACAGAGAATTGTTTTTCCTATTAGTTCAACACAAACTACATCTGTTTCTGAACTCATTCATGTTGATTTATGGAGTCCCTATGCTCATGCAACTCTTTCTCAAACCCATTATTTCCTTAGCATTTTTTATGACTATAGTAGATCAACTTGGACATACTTAGTCAAGCATAAATCCCAAACTGTTCAGTACCTTGAAAACTTCTTTGCCATGATTCTTACTAAGTTCCAGAAAAATGTAAAACAGTTAGAAGTGATAATGGAACTGAATTCATAAATCAAGACTGTTTAGCTTTATTCTTCAAATTAGGAATAATACATAAAAAAACTTGTGCTTATACTCCTCAACAAAATGGTGTAGTTGAGAGGAAGCATGAGCACTTACTCCAAGTTGCAAGAGCCATTATGTTTCAGCCATCTCTTCCAAGGAAATTATGGGGAGATTCAATTCTTGTTGCCGCCTATCTTATCAACAGGTTAAGAATTGAAAATCTCCTTTTGAAGTGTTATTTTCTAAACCACCAAACCTCTCTCATCTGAGGGTGTTTGGATGTCAGTGCTTTGTCACAAACACACTCCCACACAAAGACAAATTCTCACCTAGAGCCTTCAAAGGAGTGTTTATTAGTTATCCTAATGGCCAGAAAGGGTACAAAATGTAGAATTTATATAGAAGATCACAAAGTTTATGTATCAAGGGATGTTGTATTTCAAGAAACCATTTTCCCTTATAAATCAGCTTCCTCATTTGATTTCTCTGATATGACACCCTTACCAATCATCAGAGATCAAGATCTTGATCCTGATACAGTATTTTTCCAGCCTGATCCCACTATATCCCCTCCTGATTCCCAGCATTCTTCTGATCATTCTAGTTCTTCACATCCACCCTGAGTTCCTACCAGTTCAGTACTAGAATTACTAGACCTCTTTACTAGATGGACACTTATGTTTCTCATAGTGCTATAGTCAATCCTAAATTCCTTCCTCCTGAAACCTTTCCTTTCCATGTTTTTTCTCATCTCAACCCTGGCCATGTGACTTTTTTGGCTAACTCTTCAAAGATAATTGAAACTTTTTCTTATCACCAGGCACAATATTATCCTGAATGGCAGCATGCCATGCAAAAGGAGCTCACTAATTTAGAAGAGAATGGAACATGGATTCTCACAACTTTACCTGCTGGAAAGAAGGTTGTGGGTTTTAAATGGGTGTACAAAGTGAAATACAACCCAGATGGTACAATTGAAAAGTACAAGGCCCGCTTGGGTGCAAAAGGCTATAATGAGGTTGCAAGAGAAGATTATAAGGAGTCTTTTTCACCAGTAGCAAAGTTATTTATAGTACGTATCATCTCTGCATTAGCAGCAGCTAGGGGTTGGTCATTACAGCAGGTAGACATCAACAATACTTTTCTTCATGGTTACCTAGAAGAAATAGTTTATGACACCTTTTTAGGGATGCAAGAAAGATCTCCCAAATCAAGTTTTTCTTCTAAAAAGGTCACTGTATGGTTTAAAACAGGCATCACGTCAGTGGAACAAAGAATTCACTAAGCAGTTGGAGCTTTATGGTTTTGTACAATCTTCACATGACCCTTGTTTGTTTGTCAAGCAAACTAAAGATTCCATCCTGGTTTTGTTGGTCTATGTGGACGATGTCCTCATCAAAGGTAGTTCTCCTACCTTGATTTCTGAAGTCAAGCAGTTCCTCCATCAGGTTTTCACTATAAAAGATCTAGGGGCTACCAAACATTTCCTTAGTGTGGAAATTTTCAAATCCTCAGCAGGTATTATTCTAAACCAGAGAAAGTATGCGTTAGACATTGTTGAAAGCACTGGTCTTCTAGGGTGTAAGCCAGTTAATACACCTCTGCCTAAAGGGCTTGATCTTCACAACAAAGATAGTCCTCCTCATCAGTTTGGAGAGCAGTACAGAAGGTTGGTTGTTCGCCTTCTCTACCTGAGTTTTACATAGCCTGATCTCACTTATGCAACTCAACAACTTAGTCAATTTGTTAATTTTCCTAAAGAGGTTCACTAGCAGGCTGCCTTACACGTGGTAAGTACATCAAAGGCACTCCCTCTTCGGGTGTGTTTTCCTCCTGTGATAATGACTTATCTGTTTCAGTCTTTACTAATTCTGATTGGTGCCCGGTCACACGTTTCTCCATGAGTGGTTACTGTATGTTCTTAGGTACTTCCCTAGTTTATTGGAAAACCAAGAAGCAAGCAACAATTTCCAGGTCTTCTTGTGAAGCTGAATACCGCAGCATGGCTTCAGCTGCTTGTGAGGCACAATGGATATATCTCCTTTCCGATTTACAGGTTCCTGTCACCTTGCCAATTTCCTTTGCTTGTGATAACCAATCGGCTTTACACATTGCTGCCAACCCCACCTTTCATGAACGAACAAGCACTTAGACATTGATTGTCACTTGGTTCGTAATCTTTACAAGGCAGGCTTTATTGAGTTGTTTTACCTTCCATCTCGGATGCAACCCGCTGATCTCTTCACCAAGTGTCTCCTCTCTCCTCAGTTCACATTCTTATTGTCCAAGCTTTAGCTTTGTGATTCTCTGAACCGTTGGAGATTTCAGTGACTTGTTTCATAAGAATGTAACACTGCAATTATTGTGTAAGATTCAACATGCCTTTTGTTTTAGATGAAGAGTTATATAAAAACTAGACTTCGTATGCGTAAAAGTTGGTTCGATGAAGAGTTAAAGTCATGTTTGGAAGTGAGATTATAATGTTCTTAATAAAAATTATATAAAGATATCACTCTCTTTTTTAATTACATATCTTTCACTGTCTCTCATCCAAATTTTCTCAAGTATCAATTGATCAGTTAAGATAAATAGTGACTCATGTTATTCATCATTTTATTTATTACCTAATTATAAGTGCAACAATTTACTGCTCTCATTATACACAAACCAGACTTCTTCATAAACCAAAATAAAGACAATAAATTATTTATTGAATGTGTCGCGCAACGCGCGACATATCCTCAGCACTAGTACTTAAATAAAAGGCACAGTATGCAAGAAATTAAATGCCCAAGAAAATTCAGGATCACCTTCAAAGCGATCTCGTCCGTCGGATGTGGTTGATATGGCATCAACAACTTATTAGAGGTAAAAACGGAATTTAGTAAATACATCATTGCCAATTTATAAAAACCATAAGCTTTTGAGGGGAAAAACTCCCCAAGAAAAAACAACATCGTTTGTAGTTCTCTGTAAGTTTTTGTGCGGTAAAGCCCCAAGGCACATAACATCGACGTTTTGTACTCCTCACTATCAACACAAAGACGGCGTAGACGGCGTTGCCCTCGTCCCTTACCCATCTTTCTCCCCATTTTCAGACTTCTTTCACAAATGAAAAAGAAAAACCCCATTCCCCTCGTCGTCCGCCAGCCTCTACACACCAAAATCTCGTGTTTCCTATCAGAGATGTTGGTGAAGGAGATATATGGAGGTGGTGGTTGTTGCGAAGGTGGTAGTATTTGCTGGAAAGCAAAGACTGAAGGAGGACTTGTAGGAGTTGGTGGAGCAGCTGGTGGACATGGGTAAAGACGTTAGGACTGAGGTGGATTGAGGCGTTTAGGATGAGGTGGATATGAAGGTGGCGGTCGAGGTGCCGATGAGGTTGTGGCGGTCGCCGATTATTAGTCGTGCTGGAATAGGATATTACTTAATTCCTTTTATTAGAAAATTACAAAATTGGTAAATCTAGATACAATGAGGAAAATTACCAGATTAGTATATGCTTTAGACATCTAAGTAGGCCATGTCTATATATACCAGTGCAAACATGAGAATTATAACTGACGCAGTTTTCAAGTTTGTTCGGCAGATTTAGGTATTCCTTCCACACAATTCAGCTTTATTTGAGGAGGTGGCAAGGGTGGAAATTGAGGACATTGCGAGGAGGTGGGAAATGCTGTTTATTTGTATATCACACTGTTCAAATTCTTTTGGCTGGACTTCAAACCAAACCGAATGAAAGTAGACATCTCTGGAGCGCAGCAAACTAGAAGACTATTGGAAAATTTTAAGCATAAGTCATTTTTCCCAAGAGAAACAAGTTTACTGCAAATTCCTGACACCCTGTGTAAAAAATTATCTACAACTGTATGAGGTTACAATGTTCTTTTATATTATTTTCTTTCTGTAACAAGCAAAGAATGAATCGCAGCCAATAAAATGGAAAAAGAAAAAAAAAAAAAAAAAAGAAAAGGTCATGAGCACCGTATATAAGATTAGCTATGAGTTTTCTTTCATTCAGCCAGATTTCGCACTTCAGCTCCATCGCTCTTGATCTTTTTCATCATTTTTCGGTTTGATATATGCATCTAGTGGTGCTTGTATATCAGTTTTGTAGACATGCCCCATCTTTGATCTCTTCGTCTCCAGATATCTTCTGTTTTCCTCAGTTATTGGAGTCAAAACTGGCACCCTACCAACAACAGCCAGGCCGTATCCCTTGAGACCAATAAATTTGGCTGGATTGTTAGTCATCAGGCGCATGGTACGTATTCCTATATCCCGTAGTATCTGTTGTCATCATTTGCAACAAGCTCGCATGAGCATCAACAGTGGTTACAAAATTGCTTTTAGAACAACGTAGAGAGCAACAACGTGATAAGTAATATACATGTTGGCATCTTGGAACATTACTTATCAATGGTTTTGTAAAACTGACGAAAACTTTACTGCATTGGTCAGTTGAAGTTAATTTCGTGTCTTATTAGTCACTTGGTGGTAGAGTACATCAGCCTTGGACGACTGATCTCAGATTGTTATGTATTAGATTTAAGAGTACTGCTAATTTGAAAATGTTGCTAATATCTCAGTTGATGAATGTATTGGTATATGAACAATCACAAGTTAACTGAGCTCACCTGCGCGCCGATACCATATTCTCGTGCATCAGCAGCAAAACCAAGTTCAAGATTGGCTTCCACCGTGTCATGGCCTTGGTCCTGCAAGTTATAGGCCTGAAGCTTGTGACCGAGACCAATCCCCCTTCCTTCATGTCCTCGGAGGTACAAAACAACTCCTCTACCAGCTTGCTCAATCAACTGCATTGCCAAATCTAACTGATTCCCACAATCACACCTCCTTGACCCAAATATGTCCCCCGTCAAACATTCAGAGTGAACCCTTACTAGGATGTCTTGCCCATTTCCAACATCCCCCTGAAAAGAATTAAATGAAAGAGAAGGTTTTTATTTGTCTCTCAACCGATCAAGAGGATACATTTAGTCATTCAGAAAAGGCAGTGTGTGTTTTTTCACCTTCACCATAGCTATATGCTCAGTGCCATCAAGCTTGGAGCGATAACTGTAGGCCTGAAATAAACCCCATTTAGTTGGTAAACGAGAAATTGCAGTTCTTTCAACTAGGTTTTCTCTCTTTCTTCTATACCTGCAAAGAAAATGAAAAATCATTGTAGTGTAGATGCATGCTATGGTAAGCATACCAACTGAGAAATTCATTTCAGAAAGAGTGAAAAACACAATGGCGAAGTGACTCAGGATGCTACACATGCATTTCATCAGTAGTAGTAACATGCAACTGTTGTTATCATTTCAAGATTGCGACAACTTCCACTCGAACTAATTAATAGGCACATTTCGAGTTTTCACCCATTATATTTTTCTGTCAGTGTATACACACTGCATCAATTAGAACTGGAGTTTGAGAACTGACCTGATCAAATCAGTAATCGACACAATTGGGATTTCCTGTTCTAGGGCTAGCTTTTTCAAACTAGGCATGGGGGCAATGGAACCGTCGTGTTTTTCAACAACAGAAGAAAGCACAGATATTGGTGGCAACCCTGCCAGCATAACCAAATCAACAGATGCTTCAGTATGTCCAGCTCTCCTCAAAACTCCACCATTTCTATACTTTAGTGGAAAAACATGGCCAGGCCTTCTGAAATCATCTGGCTTTGAGCTGGAAGATGAGAGCGCGAGGACTGTTTTTGCCCGGTCAGAAGCCGATACACCAGTAGATGTCCCCAGTCTGGCGTCCTATTTGTTTTCGAAGTTATCAAAACTACAATACAAAATAAAAAAGGAAAACCAAGAAGTGTTTGAATAACACAAGCATCTCTCCGGTTAATAATGTCTACAACCTGAATAGAACCTATGGAAGTTTGTTTATCCTTTTGGATTCAACTGCAATAACTACAACAACGTGGCATTTAACCAACGATGTAGGATCAATTATATGCATCATATATTGCCATCCTGCTCGCCTGCTCGGCCTAAACACAATTTTTGTTCATTGTTCTGTAAACTAATGAAACTGATCAGATTCAGGATCATTCTAAGAACTGCAAATTGTGACATAAAAAAAGGAAGGAACTGTCATCATTACCACAGTGATGGTGAAGGAAGGAGCAGAAGAATCATCTTCATTTTCAGGCGACATCAACGGGAGCTGAAGCCTTTCCAGGTCCTCGCCTTTCATGCCAACCGAAACAATTCCAGAACCATGTTTCAAAAGAAATGCAACAGCCTGTGGAGTCACACAGGATGCGGCCATGACCAGATTTCCCTCAACTTCTCCCTTCTCATCATCATCTACAACTATCACAAACTAAAGCAGTTTTAACTTCCAGCACGTATACAAAAACATCAAACAAACTCTTTAATAAGCCTCAGACTGATTGAAGTTTTAACATTGATTTGATCAAACAAAAGAATCACTCACCTTTCCATCGCGCAACGAATTCAGGGCTTGGTCAATAGAAGAGAAGCCTGGAGAGGGGCAATCAGGATCACCCTCAGCATCACTTACAAAGAAATCAACAGTTTCAGGAGTAATTTCAGCATCCAGAAGTGTCCCAAAAGCTGCTGAATTAGGAGATGGATCATTTCCCAAGGCACTGAACACAGAGCCATTTTGATTACTAATGTTCAAAGAGCCAGAGGAGCTTTCATCATCAGACAAATCTCCAGCTGAAACTCTAACAGACCAACAAGTGCAAATTGATGGCCTTTTCTTGTGAACTCCATTTGCAACAGTAAAATTTGCAAAACTGAATCGATGGCTAGCAGAAATTTGATTGGGTAATGGATTCTGGAACACTATAACACAATCCATGAAGATGGATTTGATGGTCTTGAGTTGAGTTATGGAATATATATAACAATGAAGAAGTGTTACATTTTTCAGTAGTGAAATATATATTGGTTCAACTTCAATGGTCCATTGCATGTTACGTGCCAAATACCACAGCTCAAAAGCAAGATCACCACCTCTTGTTCTCATTATCGTTATCCACAAGAGAGAAGTATATATATATTTTTAGTACAATTATCTTGCTCTTCATATAGTACAGGAACTTATATTGGAACGGGGGAGTAATATTTTTTTAGTAACTTGCTCCATTTTAAGGAGTAGAAAAATGATAGGTTGATGTATTTTATCAAATGAAATGAAATAGTCACACGTCACATGTACTTTCATAGTTCTACTCCGTAAGATGATTAAGACATTTTGATTTTATCCTAGATTTAACCTAGTACACATTTTTAATTGACAAAAAAGTTTTAAAAATATTTCATAACAATCAAGATAATACAACGAAACACTAAATCCGAAAAAAATATTATTTTTCCAAAATTTAAAATAATATTTTATTCAACAACTCGAATTTCTCAAATGCAAAACACTTTGTCTCGGATTTGACTGATCTGTTTCTAGTCAAATTTCATTTTCGAACATATAGATTTTTTTAAAAAAATAAAAATTATTTTTTTATTGAAATCTTTCGAATTTGCCAAATCCGAAACTTGGTAAATTTTAATTAATGATTTAGTTAAATTTAATTAATTTCAGCTTAGAGGGCTTTCGGATTAGACAAATTCGAGTTGTTTTGCTCTCGGATTTAGCAAATCCAAGACATCTATTTCTGTACACCTTATTTCTTTTTAAATTGTTTTTATTCAGGTATTTCCTTTGATAATATGTTCGGTAAAAAACTCAAATTTTGGAGCATTATTTGAAAAGTCCAAACGCTTTACTAGGTAGTAGTAGTATTATCTTCCGTTTGGTAATGTTAAACTTATTTGATGAACATCAATATATATATGTACGACAACAATGTAGTAAAATAGGATCTGATGACTTCACAGTTCTCTCCATTCTACGGTACCCAATTTGGATACGTTTTCATTTTCTCTTCACAAAATTTCATGATGGTCTTGAGTATAAATGTATGATGGCACAATATATAAATTGAAAAACCTCTCATCATGGTGTTAACACCAGCAAAAGTTTTTATTTTATTTTATTTTTTGGTTAAAATTACCGCAAAATGTCTTCACAAAAGTATAAAGCCCCTAAATATCCCTCTCCCAAAATATTTCTATTTAGATTTTTAATATTAATACAATTTATATTAGAGTGAATATTAAAAGTGGATAATTATTTTGAGACAAATATATATAAAGTAATACTCCCTCTGTCCCAAAATTATTGTACAGTTTGAGGTTTTACTTTTAATATAATTTGAACTAAAAATAAAAACTCAAACTGGACAATAATTATGAGACGGAGGAAGTACTAGCTAAAACAATACAGAAGATCTATGTCCTTAATTAATAACAGGATGTCTAAATGTTATAGAGCTTTTTTGTTGAACTTTAAAGTTCTAAGAATAAGAAAATATTTTGCAAACTTGATTGTTGAATGGTGAAGATTAATTATATTAGTATTATCTACATAATTAGGGAATGATTGGATTATTTTTGGTCCACAATCTTCAAAAATCAGTCATAAAATATTTGAAATGATTTTGAAGTCATAAGTTAATCAGGATCAACTAAACTTTTGGTAATATTTGTGACATAAATTAATACTCTTATCACAAACAATTTTTTTTTTTTTTTACTTTACTTTAATTAGTACATCTATCCGGGTGTGAAATTTTAAATAGCCAAGCGAATTTCACTCCCCAATATACAGACATCGTTGACTGCAAATAGCATCCAACGGTGGAGAATAGCTTGTTAACCTTATTTTTCTCTTACAAAAGAATGCCACGCAGGCAAAAACTAATAAAAATTCATTAATTATACTGATTTTTTTTTTTAAAATTCTCAACAAACAGTTTGTATTGACTTTTTAGCTGGGTCCACCATTTCTTGCCTCCCCTAAAGCACCAGTCAGCGGGGTGAAAGTGTGCTGACGTGGCAAGTCTTCTACAAATTTCAAAGGACCCAAAGGAATTTGAAAAAATAGACACCCAAAAGAACCGAAAAGGGTTAAAAAATCGAGTGAATTAGAAAAGGAAGTGCCCAGCTGCTGGTGCTCACCGGCGATCGGGATTGTCGTAAACGCCGTCGTTTTTCCTACTCGTGATCTCGAGCTCTAGGCGTTGCAAGCTAATTCCGGCTCCCCGTCTTATCACGGCCGTTGAATCTCCGGTGAGCTTTTTTTCTTAATTAAAAAAATTGTTTTCGATACCTTCGGAGGGTGTTGGCCTTTCTGCTATTTGATGTTTATTTAATGTGCAAGATTATTGTAATGCATGGAATTAATGATTTTTTTCTGTTGTCGGTTCCAGGGGCCGGCAGTGTTAATCGGAGGAGGAGGAGGAATTGGATGGGATATGGCGGAACCGCCATCACTTTCGGGAGTGGCGTTGGTGAAAGATAACAAGCTATGGAAAGGAGTATTTGCTGTCTCCGGAATCATGTCAACGCTCATAGTCTATGGTCTTTTACAGGTACCCAAGCTAATTAGCAGTTTAATTAATTTGTACCCCAACTTTAGAGTTAGGTGAAAACTCTATTCTTTGTCCTCCTAGTTTGATCAATTTAATTATGTTGTGGAAGTGCTGAGAATATGTAACTTATGGGTAAATAGAGCATTATCCATTGTCAGGCACCTGCATGAATTTGGATAGGTTTTGCACCGTTGATATTTTCCTATTCCTGATTGTTTGATGAAAACATTGGACATGATTTGTAAAATGGGAGGCGATAGAAAGCACCTTTCTTGATCAGTTTCTGGCACAACTGTAGTAGACATGTAAGAATGCTCTATTAATATTGCCTCCTTAACAGGGGATGGCAGAATATTAGTCTTAATACGCGGAAATTGATTCCTCGTTCTCACTAGTGAAATTCTTAGGGTGTGAGATGCTATTCAGGGAGCTATCCTGAGCTTATGGTTCCTAAAAAATTCTTTGACTTGCAGGAAAAGCTCATGAGAAGACCATATGGGGGCAAAGATTATTTCGAATACTCCTTGTTTCTTGTCTTCTGTAATCGAATTACAACCTCTGCTGTCTCAGGTGCAGTTCTCCTGGTGAGAGTTTTATACTGATTATTTTGGTTTTTCAAGCTTGAAATGCGAAGAAAATTGTTCCAAAACAATTTTGTGCGCCCGAGTTGTTTTATTATCCGGACTTACGCATGGAAGTGTCCTTACATTTTGTATGAATGGTTTCTCATATTTCCCTTTTCTTTTTCATCTTTCCTCTTTGATTTTGAAACATGGTTTCACATATTTTCCTTTCAGGGAAGTAAAAAAGTTTTGGATCCTGTTGCTCCACTTAAAAATTACTGTTGGATTTCCATTTCTAACATAGCTACAACAACATGTCAATATGAGGTAAGTCTCATTTAATCAAATATGTCTTCTACTTAGCCAAGATGTAAAGTATAAAGTTCACAAATGCTCCTTTTTCCTTATAATAAATACTCACTGCAGGCCCTAAAATATGTCAGTTTTCCCGTTCAGACATTGGCCAAGAGTGCTAAAATGATACCTGTAATGGTAAGTTAATCATTGCCAAGTGTCTTGGATGCCTAACCCTTTTTTGCCATCTCTTCTAATTTCCTTTCATTTTAGTATCTTTAACTTTCTTCATGTCATTCTGCAACAATTATTCACAGCTTGATATCTCCAAATCTTCAAGTTTAAGCTAATTTTGTCATCTTGTAGGGATTTACTGTAAATTCTATTGTGATTAGGTTCTTAAATTAGATCCTAGTGAAAATTCTGATCCATAGTCTGCACATCCTGGGGTAGCGAAAGTTTGAATATGTCAATCATGCCCTTAAATCTCTTGCATGGCATAATTGGCTTATTTCTTCTGTATAATGTTCATTTTTAATTACCAGAGTATCTGGATTTCTCTAATTTTTTAGTATTCTTTTTCCTTATTTCCCTGTGCTTTCTGAGATTTGGGGCTCTTTTATCATGCAACAATCATGCCCCCTTAAGTCTCTTGCATGGCATAATTGGCTTATTCTTCTGCATAATGTTCATATTCTTTTTCCTTATTTCCCTTGTGCTTTCTGCAGATTTGGGGCTCTTTCATCATGCAAAAGAAGTACCACTTCCAAGATTACCTGATTACACTCATGGTGACGGTTGGGTGTTTTATATTTATTTTCTTCCCGGTAAGGAATTTACTTCTCCATGATTATTTGGTTTTTGATCCTTGGACTTTTTTAATTAATATTTTTTTAGAGGGATGGTAGGCACTGCAGCTTATCTTGTTGATTGATGTTAAGGAACCTGTTTAAAGGTACGGTTGGTTTGATTGTAGGCAGCAGGTGATATTAGTCCTCATAATGGGAAAGAAAGCACAGTATGGGGTGTTACCCTTATGATTGGTTATTTAGGGTATGTATTCCCTACTTGCATTGTGTATTTTTATTAAACGGACCTGGAAAAATATTTCTTTAAACATGGTTGATGCGAGTCATGCGACTTCTATAATTTAATTGGACTTTAAAAGTATGAATACAGTTACCTTTTTGCTTTCTCGAGATTTTCTTATTTACCTAAAGTCCCTGCATAATTCCGTTTTCCTTGAAATGAGTACCCGAGTCAGCTATTTACACGTTTCTTTCTCCAACTGTTGTCTAACATTCACGCGTTTTCCATGAACGACCACTCAGCTGTGGCCATTTGTTTATCTTCATGTGTTAACATTTCTCCTATGATGATATTGACAAATGATATCTTGCAGGTTTGATGGCTTTACTAGCACATTCCAAGATAAACTATTTAAAGGCTATGATATGGACATACACAATCAGATCTTCTACACTACACTGTGTTCTTGTATGCTCAGTTTCGCTGGTATGAAACTCTGTGATTATTACCCTCAAATATTCATCGCTTTTGGATTCTCATCTTGATTTCTGAGGTGCACACCATAAATTTGTTAGATTGAGAAGGCTAGGCCATGGTTTTTGACTAACATGGTAGATTTCTTCTATCCTATGAGTGTCTGGAGTACTTTGGATACATACTTTTCTTATGGTTTAGAAAAATGTTCTGAAATTTCAGGTGATCCTTAGTTCTATTTATCAGCATTAATTACTTCCATGAAAATTGAAGCAACACTTTATTTCTTTGATTGTCCTGAATTTTCAGCTTATTCTTGCTTCCACATGTGATGTTTGGTCATGGGGTTCCCTTCTACTATTTTTTTTTTTTTTGGATTGGGAAAGAAGGGTATATATCTTTACATGGCTTGCAGATGATGATTTCAAATCAAAAGGGTTCCCGTGTTTTCTGATTATTTCTTACAAAATTAATTTGCTTTACTGTCATTGTTTTGCTACTTGTCTACTTGCTTGATGTTTTCTTCTTTCTTTTTTTCATTTTCTTTTGGTTTTCGATAACGGCATTTTCTTTCTTGTTTCCATATAGGTCTGATCTTGCAAGGCAATCTGGTCAAGGCTATCGATTTTGTTTTTCGTCACCATGACTGTTTCTTTGACATTTTATTGCTTTCAACTGTAAGTGTCATACTGAGAAATGTCAATAACAACTGCTAATCTCAGTAATATAATGACAATCTCAGTTTATCTCTCCGCTTATCTCAAACATCTCCTCAAGACTGAGTTTGCTAAGTACGTCTTTTAATGTGTATGGATAAGATAATTGGCTAATTTGTAAATGAAGATGAATTTTTTCTGGGCAAATGAGAACATGCCTTTCTCTTCCTGTATTTAGTCTCTTTCTGTGAGTAGGATTCTGATGTTAGATTTATGTGAGGGACTGGACTGTCAATAGAAAAGTGGCTTGATGTTTCTGTTAGGTTTTTTCTGTATAAGGTCAATTCTTGATTGAGGTGTGTATATGAAATGGCTTTCTATAATTTGGTAAGCAGTACAGTTTTAGCCTAGACGTTAAGTTTATTATTGCAGAATTGTCCAGTTGGGTTACATGGTAGTAATGGCTACTTAATATAAAGCCTAAATCCCACATCATTTCTTTACAGGTAGCAACAGCTAGTCAATTCTTCATTTCTTATACAATCCGCACATTTGGTGCCCTCACGTTTGCGACAATAATGACAACAAGACAGGTAGATTCACAGTTTCTCAAACCATTTATGCTCAGGATAAAAATGATGATAAAGATTGTGCTTTTGGGGATACCCGGACTGATTATGATTGCCTCTTTATGTATTGAACCAGTTGGTGAGCATTCTGCTGTCCTGTCTGTTTTTCGCACATCCACTCGGCTGGCTACAGTTCGTAGGAGCTGTAAGTACTAAACTATATCTTCCCTAATGCAGTACTACATTATGTACAGATCTAAATAGCTTGCTTTTCTTCATTGTTAACAGGTAATTGTTTTCGGATCCCTTTATGCCAAAACCTTTCTGAAGAAACCGTCAGCTTCTCAGCGTCCAGTGGATGCTGCTTCTATTCCATTGACAGCAAATTCAGAGCAGGAAAGAAGGTAGTAGCTTCTGTGGTATCTTTACTAATTTTGAGGCAGACATATGAAGATTTGGATTGGATGCTTTACTTGGCTCCAGATAGCACGGCATTTTGTCAAAGTAACCTGCTTGAGAGATGCTTAGATCCTAACCTTTAATGTAGAGTTTGAACTTTGAAGCCCAATTTTTCGGTGGGTTAAATTATAGTTACACGGAAGTTTATATTTAACCCTCTTCCTAATTTTGCTGTGAAATCAAGGAAGTACATGGTTTATCATTATTGGTGTATACCAAAGCACTTGTTGCATCTTGAAGGAGAGGAGAGTATATGCGTTTCTAATAGTAATCCAAGAGGCTATATTCGATTGTTCATTGCATTGGGTGAGAATACTGATGACTTCCACTAGTGTTAACACGTCAGAATATTTAGGCCTTCTCTTGCAGAATGTTTAGATGGGGTTATGTATTACCGGTATCAGTGAACTGAAATGACATCGTGACACGATTAATACGCAACAGTCACAATTGTTATTACACAATTATAAACATGTACTCATCACCAATTGTAGTTGTAGTTAGGCTTATTTTCTTGCAGAGTCACCCCCAAAAAAAAAAAAAGCCTTATTTTTTTGCAGTGAATTAATAAACCTCAGTCTTTAATATTTAGTCGATTATTTATTTTGCTCATCTTTACGGCTGGTATATCACTCGTTGATCTGAAAGGATCCCAAAGAAAGCAGCAAGCTAGCATTATCTAGAAATCTAGAACACGCAAGATCTCTGAGTCCCTTAAAAACTTATTGAGTCCATTGCGAAAATTCTCCTTTTCTTATCAACGGTACGACTTCCTTTTCAAAAAAAAACGGTTCTTATTAAGTACACAATTAAAACTTTAGTAATAGTAAAACCAACAACTATTGTGGCTGTAGTTTAGTGGTGAGAATTCCACGTTGTGGCCGTGGAGACCTGGGCTCGAATCCCAGCAGCCACACATATAGTCTTTTTTTTTTGTTCTTATTTTTTTTGAACACACAATTATTTTTCCCTTTTCCTAAAAATTCAGAATTTTATGATCTTTTTTTAAAAAAAACTAAATTCAAATTTAGTCTTTAATATAACATTATCAAATTTTATGTTTCTAGTTTTCCATTGGATTGGTCAAAGTTTCAAACGCCTATTCCTTAGCCCGAATATATTGTCGGGTAAGTTAACCTCACCTAATAAGTGTCACAAGTATGCATATAAAATCTGCTCTGATATTAAGTTAAAGGCACATATAAACTCATACTTGGTTTCATCTTTAAATCACTTGACATTGAGAGGGTATCAATTAGACTTATAATTTAGTTTCTTTTTTTTATTGTTGTAAAAAACGATAATCATTATTTAAGAAAAAAAATAATCATAGGTTGAGCTATAATAACCTACAGTTGAACTATTAACAGACGTTTTTCATGTTATACATAACCACAGAAAAGTGATAAATTCAATATTATATACTCCTTCTGTCTCAAAATTATTGTCCATTTTGAGACTTCATTTGTAGTATAATTTGAACTAAAAATAAAAATTTAAATTGGACAATAATTATGAGACGAAAGGAGTACAAAGTTAGGCTGAACTAAGTTGACTATATTGTAGTGACATTTTTTATTACAATAGAAACATATAGCATCAAGAGACTTTCGAAGAAAACCAAAATTAGAACAAAAAAAAAAGTTAACTCTAATTGAATGAGACTAAAACTACAAATCTAGTTTTGAGTTTCAAATCTTATACTCCCTCTGTCCCAAAATTATTGTCCAGTTTGAGATTTCACTATGCTAATGTCAATACCAAATAATAACTTATTTTAATTTTTTCTACGGATATTTGATTTGATTTCTTTTTTCTCAAGTTTTCAACAGTCGAAACAGCGAATGTCTATAACATAAACTTAAGACACCTTACGGTTAGAAACTTCAATAATATTGTATTTACATAACGGTTTAATTCTTTTTGACGATAAATTGTCTAACTATTGAAAAGGTTTGAGACTAAGAACTACCAAATATATTAAATAATATGTCACAAAATGTCAAGTTTAGAAGAACTAATTTCTAAATCTTCTAACTGAAGACTGTTATGTTGAAAAACTAATACTCCCTCCGTCCCATAATTATTGTCCAGTTTGAATTTTCATTTTTAGTTCAAATTATATTAAAAGTGAAATCTCAAACTGGATAATAATTTTGGGATAGAGGGAGTACTACTTAGATGCTTCGACTCCTGCATTTCTCTAAACATAGTCCTTTAAGGTTTAAGCTGCGGGAAGGATCCTAAAAATAAATTTGTTAAAAAATAAGGGACGGTTGATTTAAGTTAATAATTTTTTTTTTTAAAATATGGCTGAAGAAGTAAATTAGAAATGTATACGTACTATAGAACAGATGGGGCGATGTCTATGCTAGCTCATCTTGGTTGTCTCAATCGTTAGGAATCGTTTTCCATTATAGAAGCAACATAGCCATCTAAATTTAAAAGTTGCAAGTACAACATTATTTAGTTTGTTCTATCTGTTTAAGTATTTTATATATGTATTTTTTTTTTTTGTAGTACTTGTCATTTTCTGGTACATATCATTATATGTACTAACATGTATTGGCATGTGGCCCTAGCACAAGTGAAGCATCTATGTTAATCAATGGTTTTGGTGAAAGAATATTATTAATGGCCATTGCTTTTCTGATCATGTTTGATGTAAAAAATAAATTAAACAAAAAAAATAAAGAGCTATTTTAGCACAAAATATATTCGTAGTTAAGTTGGTTGAGAAAAAGAAAATATAGTGGGATATTTTTTTTTGAAAAAAAAAAAATTTGCTTTACGGATAAAATTTGGGCCAGCGATATTACCAACACAAATATTAACTTCCAGAGCAAATTATCCATATTATTCCAAAAGTGCCTTCGTTTGAGTCAAAAAGAAAACTTTTCATTTATCCGCGCCTAACCTCCTATCCGCGGACCACCAATCAACGTTGACCACATCATAGCTCCAATAACTAAATCAAACTCGCTTCCATTAACCTCATGATCCTCATCCTCGTGAATTTTTTAGTCCGGTCACCAATAAACCTACATCCTCCCTAATTCTTCTTGGAGTACTCTTTTGTGGACTTTTTTTTCCAATAAGTCCAGATGACGGAGGCAATTCAGAAAGCGTTGGCAAGCGGCGTATGTATAAAAATGCAGCCATGGTGAACCGAGGTTTATTGTCCACCGAAGTGCCATTGCTTGTAATAATTACTACACTCACATTGAACCTATAAACCCAATGTTCATGGTCACTAGACTCACCAAAAAGGGATGGAAAGGTTTAGAAGATGTAGAAAGTGTTTAAGGTTAGCAACCCAATCGGTCACCTCTCTAACAACCCTATCCCTTCGATTTATGGATAGAACGGCTAGCGAAAAGGCTCCAATGAACAACTAACAAAGCTCCACAAGTAGAAAAACACCTATTCTACTCGCATGCATCAACAAATTACAAGCTTGTGTGCAATGCACTAATCTTCGAAAAGAATAGAAAAAGAACAAAGAGTTTTCTCTCGTCTCATATTGAAATATCAAATTCATCAAAGGTACAAATGAAATGCTGGCCAAGCACCCCTATTTATAGTAGAAGGGGCCGAAATTCTCCTATGAAGTAGGAGAAAACTTTGATCTCTAACTCTATTCCTACTTCAAAGAACTAGAAATCAACTTAACCTCTAATTGACAACTTGTGTCTTAACTATTAAGGCAATGTATCTAGACATCTTTATAGACTTAAGACACACTAGTCTAATGAAAACAAAACTCTAAATTCAAAGAGATATTCTCTCAAAAGAATCTTCTCCTTATCTTGAAAAGAATCTTCCTGAGTTGTCAACTTTATCAATATCTTCTTTGTAGAGTAATCATAACCATCAAATCTTGATCTAATCTCCATCCAACGGTTGAGAGTAGATACCAAGGAATAGACTTTTTATTTTGAATTAAATCTAAATTAGATAAAAGAGAATCATATCAAATCTTATCCTTCCATATGATAAGATTTAAATGATCTTATCTCTAAAAGATAGGGAATCTTCCAAATCCTATTCTTCCACAAGTGTGATATTATTTACATGATTTCATCCCTAAAAGATAGAGATTCTAACTCCTAAAAATTAGGAAATAGGATCGGCCTCCCTTGCTTGGTTTGTGGGCCGAAATTTCCTTACTCAAATGGGCCTTGTAACACATTAAAAACTTAGGCTTGTAACTTCCAGACTTGACATTCTCTTGGGATAAACCATTTGATATAAAATTATTAATTGCACTCCTCATCCTTTTACCTCTAACTTGAGTCATTGGGCCTCCAATGTTGAATAATGGATCTTGAACCACTCCTTGAGCTTGGACAGTACTTGGAACCCGAATATCTTGCTCATCTTGGACTTGATTACCATGGATGTTCACATCACTACGCATATAGTTGGATTGAATTTAGAATTCTTATCCATGTTTAGATAGAATTTAATGTGAAAATTTAGAGTTACTGTTATCTTTTTCTGTCGGATGGTTAATGATAGTTAAAAACCAATACTAATAATGAAACGGTATAACGTCTTTTCTACGGATAAAACTATATCTAAATGAAGATTTGCATCAAACTATTTCTATATTTATACTACTTTAAAAAGCATTAATCATAAAATATGATCTCATCCAGGCTGGATTAGATTTGGATATGTTACCAGAGGTTAATCGGGAATTTTATCGTAGTACTTTTTATTGTTTCCCTTCTGTAGTACAACGTCGTAGCTCAGTCAAATCGATGTTGACTTCAATTTCAACCGTCTCCTACACTCACTCAAAGACTCCAACAAATTAATCTCCTTTTGATCGATTTCGAATTCTACCGAAACTCCTCCGCGAAATCCTGTCAATTTTGTTGTAATCTCTTCTGGGTCCCATCTCAATCCTCCACTTCTATATAAATCGACCCAATTCCTTAGTTTTTTGTATACATAATCTTTTTCCCAGAGAGTTGTTTTTTTATCTGATCTTCTTGATCTTGATTAAGCTTATTTTAATTGCTGTTTTATTCTTTTCTTTCAAAAGTATAAACAGAGATGGATATTGATTTGAGTCCTAAGTTGCCGAAGAAGATTTATGGCGGTGACGGTGGGAGTTATCATGCATGGAACCCGGAAGACCTTCCGATGCTAAAGCAGGGAAACATTGGTGCTGGGAAGCTTGCTCTTGAGAAGAACGGACTTGCTCTGCCCCGTTACTCTGATTCTCATAAGTTGGCCTATGTTCTTCAGGGTATGTGATTCGGTTTTCATTAAAAATTTATTGCTGATTTGGACTATTGATTGTTTGACAGTGCGAGGTTGGTATTTGCGGACTATCAATTGTTTGAGTTTTGTGGTTTATGATTTTCTGGGATAAAAGTCAAATTTTGAGTTTGATTTATACCATTATATTTTGCAATAGGACTTTTGTTTTGTGTTTGTTTTGGATCGCCGTGGTCTAATCATGTATTAGTTTTTCTAATCTTGTGTTTTTCATTAATATCTCTGCCTGTGCGATTGAATCAAAACCTTATAGCTATCTGTTCCGAATTTTCTTCAGGAGATGACAGTAGTATTAGTTGAATAAGCAGAGTTGACTTTCCCTGTGGAAAAATGGTTTTTGATTGAGATTGAAAGTGACTGGGTTGGCAGTTGTATTTTCAGATGTTTATTGGTCCCTTTTGGTTTGGTTGATTGCTGGATTGTAGCGTTTGTGAATATTTTGAAATTCTGGAGTAAACCCATAAACCTTGGCTCATAAAGATGTATACTGTTTTTTGGGTAGGGGTTTTGCTTGAATAAATCACAATAAACTGTCTTACACTGGTTTCCATTCCCGTGTTTCTGCTGATCTTTTGTACTCATATAAATATCCTGATTATTCTTTGTAGTTTTGGCCAAAATATCCATTACTAATGGCTTAACAACTTTTAATTGATTCAGGTAATGGTGTTGCTGGAATTGTTCTTCCAGAGAAGGAAGAAAAGGTTATTGCAATCAAGACGGGTGACTCCATCGCCCTTCCATTCGGTGTGGTCTCATGGTGGTACAACCAGGAGGACACAGAACTCGTTGTCCTGTTCTTGGGAACTACTGATATAGCCCACAAACGAGGAGAATTCACTGATTTCTTCTTGACGGGTGCCAATGGTATATTCACCGGCTTTTCAACTGAATTTGTTAGCAGGGCATGGAATGTAGATGACAATGCTGTGAAAGCCCTTGTTGGAAACCAGAAAGCCAAGGGAATTGTCAAGGTTGATACCGGATTCAAGATGCCTGAGCCCAAGGCTGAGCATCGTAATGGCATGGCCCTAAACTGTATTGAAGCTCCCTTGGATGTTGACATCAAGGGTGGAGGCAAAGTGGTGGTTTTGAACACCAAAAACTTGCCATTGATCGGCGAGGTAGGCTTTGGTGGAGATCTTGTAAGCATCCTAGGCCATGCAATGTGTTCGCCGGGTTTCTCGTGTGATTCAGCTCGGCAGGTTACTTACATTGTTAGGGGCAGCGGCCGTGCTCAGATTGTTGGCCCTGATGGCAAGCGCGTGCTTGAGACAACTGTCAAGGCTGGTAACCTCTTCATAGTTCCCAGGTTCTGTGTTGTTTCAAAGATTGCAGATGATAGCGGGTTGGAATGGTTCTCCATTGTCACAACTCCAAAGTAAGCGATTAATACAAATGCTGGTTAACTTCTTTTGTTTCCTTAGTATCTTATTCTGATCTTAACTGTGATTTGTGCTTGTTGCAGCCCCATTTTCACACACATGGCTGGAAGAACATCAGTGTGGAAGGCCTTATCCCCAGAAGTGTTGCAAGCATCATTCAATGTAACACCTGAAGTGGAGCAGCAGTTCAGATCAAAGAGGATGGCTGAAGAAATCTTCTTCCCACCAAACTAAATGGAGCCATTTTCATAGTTGTTTTTCCTTTCCGCTTCGATAGCAAAGTAAAAGAAAAATAAGTCAATTTTTAAGAGCATTTCACCCCGTGCTTTATTTAGATATTGGACATAAGAATTGGTGATTGTTTTGAGTTTTTATTTTTCAAATATATGTCAATGGTTCTTCTAAGTTTCATTTTAAAGAAATTTCAGATTTTCATCGATTCTCTTTGAACAACATCCTTTCAAAAGCTTTCATAAATGGTTAGTTTAACAACGTTAGTTAACATTGCGGCAGTCCCAATACCTTACCTGATTTGAATCCGCTTTCCCCTATTCCAATCCTTTCAAAAGCTTCAATCCATGACTATTGACAACTTTTACCAATATTTTTCTAAGTGGTTTTTTCTTAATGATTTAGTTTGAAGAGATACATTACTAATTTGAGATTTTCCAAATTTAACTATGGCAATTTATAAGATATAGTTGATGATCTTTGTTATCCGCTGGTAAGAAGGAACGAAGAAATTAGCATTCATATCCTGCCTTTTTAACTATGGTCACATTCATATCCTGCCTTATTAGCATTAGCACAAACAGCACACTTGATCCCATTTTCACTAAAACGTGTTAAGCCATTTTTACGTTCCCCTACGCACTTCTGCTCAATGATCATGACCAGTACTGAGATTTAAGTTTTAACCTTAAGGCCTAACTATTAAGGACAATTATATCAAGCATATGGATGTGAGCAAAAGATCAGTGTCTTTCTAGATAATTCTTGAAGAATTGACAGCTCAATTCTTCAGGAATTAGACACACTTTTATTGCAAACTCAAGCTTACCAGGGAACATCCGGCAGGTGCTGCCTAGCCACCATTTCGCAGCCCTGTATATCTACAACTACTGATGATAATTGATAAAGACGGGCAACATTGTGAGGGTTGCTTCACAGCCCATAAAAACCGCATGCACTACACCAGATTCAGCAATCAATGGATATGGAAAAAATCAATTTTCTCCCCGGCTAATCGTTCCAGAGAAGAAACTTATATGCTAGTACAATGAGAAAGGCAAGATCAGTGGTTTACAAACAGCACAAGACTGCAACAATCTTGTAAACACTCAATTCCTGCACATCTCCTTTGTTCATCCCCAAAACAAGTAAATTTAGTTCATGAAAATAACTATCTGACAACATGATAAACCCTTGTCAATAGTCGTTTTAGTTCTTGGCCTTGAGGGAATTATTCTCTTTGATCCTTACTCGATTGTCCAGTTTGACAAATCGCTTTAGGTCTTCATAAGGTAAGGTTTTCAGGTCTTTCCTTCTTAGCTCACTTAGTGCCGGGCGCTTATCAAGCAGATGGAATAACCAATCAGGGTATTCTGAGTCTGGCAATATTTTCGGGTCCGAACCTTCCTTGAGAATATTGGCACCAAAAACTGTAGTGGATTTGACCTCTTTACTGAGAGTGGATTCCTTTGGAGCATCGGCAGCCCCACCACCTTTAGAACCCTTCTTTTTTCCCCCAGCAGAAAAATTTCGCCATCCCCCCACGTCAAGTACCTGCTTGGTGACCGAGGGGCTTCTCAATGATCTAAGATAATGTAGTGGCATGTCCTTTTCCTGTGGCACCGGGAAGCAATGATCATTACAAGATCAAAGATGCCAATTAGCATACACATTCTACCGGTTTATAGCTTCCACATCGTTGACTAACCAACAAAAGGATAAGTACTTTCACGGTTACTAACTTTCTTCCAACCCCAATAAAAGAATAAAGAAAAAGCACAGGCATGCCCTAAAATTTTAGAAAGATCAGGGGAACCATACTCCAACTGGTTTCAAGTATGTTTTAGTGAGCCATACAAGGTTCAGAAAATGAGAAACATCATCTGGATAAATCACTTTAATTAGACTGAAAATACTATTTAACAATGACATCTAAACAACCACATTTTAAAGATTCTATGCGAAAACTTTCAGGATTGTCGAGAACCCAGATGATCCAAAAATTGAATGCAGCTAATTTTAAGTGGCCTTACATCGGGTTAATTTACACGTTAATCACAAATCTTCATCATCAAATTAGCTAAATATTCAGTGCAACAACCCAAAGGAATAATGTGGCAGCAGAAAAAAACCATGTGAAAATCCCTAGCTAGATAAACTAATCAGAAAACTGAAACTTATATACGACCGCATATGCCTAGCTCCATCGATTGATAACAGAACAAGCTAACCACCGCATATATGGAAAGCTCAATTGATTGCTAACAGAACAAGCTAACTTATTACCACCATAGTGAAATTATCAGTGCAAGACCCAGATGTATTTCCTCAGCTTCTTACACATTTAACTAGAGATTTAATTAGTTAAGGGGAAAAGAAAAAAAGGAACAAAGAAACGAGTACACTTTTCCGGCATCTATAATAATGGAAAAAGTAAATAAGAGAAAGATACCACAAGCCTATAGTTAAATGAATTCAGCATATAACGGCTGGAAGTAAACAAAACCACTTGTACCTTTTGCGGCAAGGGTTCCGGTCAGGCGGTCAGCTGGTGTTGCGGATTCTTAATTGGCGGCTGAAAACAACAATTCAAAGAGATATTCTTCAATCACTCGTTTCAGTAAGATCCACAAAATCAAAACTCATTTCCATTAAATAATCAATAACAGTTCACAAAGAGTCCCACGACCAAATTTTCTACCCTAAAAAAACACACAGTAAAGCGGAGAATAACGTGGAGCAGAGAACTGTGAGACTTACCAGATGAAATTAGCGAGCTGATGATGATGATGAATGTTTCGTTGCAACTTCTGATGAATTTGTGAGCATTTCACAATCCGATTCCGCAGTGACGTGAATTCCTTTGCCCTCTTTGCGAGACTGTAAAGGATTCCGAATTGGGCCCTAAGAAAGAAGTTTACAGCAGATCAGGCCTAGCCCAAATCACAATGGGCTATTAAGCTATTTAACTCTAATTAAATTAAATTAAATGTTTTGGAAAACCACACTTTTATTTTAATATAATATTTGAAATTAGCCATTCGCTTGTAACTTGGGTCTTGGATGACAATTTACATGTTAGTCTTTTTTGGGTAAGAATAAAAAAAGTTTTGTTCCCCTTTATTTAAAAAGAAAAAAAAAAAGAAGAAGAGATCAATGTCCTACTTATACTTTTGAAGAGGAATGTCCTAATTATTGAGTACCGTGTTTTCATTACTAAACCATGTTCTCATCTTAAATACGTTAAACATTATTTCCTTTGAAGTATAATTTATTATTGAAAACAAGCAAAATTTAGGCCATCAAAACAAGATTTGTTGGTATGATGGTACGCAAACTCTCTGTCCAAAAATTATTGTCCAGTTAAAATTTTAATTTTTAGTTCAAATAATATTAAAAGTACAAATTTAAATTATAAAGTAATTTTGGAATGGAAGAAATATAACTAATAGAGAACATCCAAATGAAAAAAGAAATTTACTCTCTAAGTCAAGAGTACTTTGCAGGTACAGCATGTCCGTTTAAGTGACGGATTTTTTTTTTTCGTATTATTCAATAATTCATCCTATCAATATTTATCTCTATTTGAAATATGGCTTTTTTTCTTTTTCCGTTTGGGATGTGTTAGTTAAATAAATTAATGGGAAAAGGACAATTCTCGAGTTTGGTCTCAAAGATCAATGCCGCCCCGACCATTCTTTAAGGATAACTACATCTCTTGACCGTCGGGCACCAACAAAAAGTGACCCCTTTGACAGCAAAATTGACCAAAAATGAGTGTTTAAAGAAGGAAGAAAAAAAAAACCTTTTTAGCTAAAAACAAAATTGTGTACTCAAATTCTATAATCTTTTTCTCAAAAACCTATTAAAATTTATTTAAGGATGGGACGTTTACCAATTTTTCTTAAAAAATTACTTGTAAAAAAGTAAAACAATTAATTTAAGTGAAACCAATTTATCTATGCTTGATTCTTTTTTTTTTTAAAAAAAAAAAAGAGATAGAATTTCAACCATATTCATACGTTGATTTCAATAACAATGGAGAAATTATGTTATTTTTTTGGGAAAATGTTTTGAAAACAAAATTCAACCCTAAGTAAATTAATTTTTTTTAAAAGAATAATTTTTGAACAAAAAGTGGTGAATCTTATTGTCATTAAATAAATTCTTCAACAATTTGTTAAACAAAATAGGGCATTGAAAAAACAAATAAAATGTGCATGAAAAAAATTTTTTTTTTTAGGCTTTATACATTTTTTTTGTCACTTTTACCTTCAGGGTCACTTTTGATGTTGATTGACAGTCGAGGGATATAACTCAACTCTATATCTCAAAGTGGCCAATATTAGATTGACTCAATTTTGGATACCATACGAAGTACGAAGTATAATGAGTTGACATTACTATTGGATTAAATCTTAAAAAATAATTTATCCATTAAAAAATATCATTCCTATCCGAAATTAAATTTTATCTCCGCCCAATCACCTTAACAAATCCATGATTTCGTGTTTTTTTAATGTAACAGATTACTAAAATCCTAATACAATTGAATGATAATGTATAACTAACTTCCTCCGAAAGATAAGATTGAAGATTTATGTAATCTGTTCTGAAAGATAAGATTCGAAGCAGGTGAACCATGTTTCCCTATGAAAAGGTTGATCACCAAAATCCAAAAGGCCAAATCCAATCTCAAACCCAAACTAACATCATCACCAAATCCACGAACCAAAAGTATCAAAGGAATCTAGCAAATAACACAATCAATATTTTCTGAAACAAATCAATCCTACACTTTTTTAGCATACAGAGGATAAAAAATAAAAACCGAACATTCAAAAAACCCAAACAACAATCTCGACTAACAAACATGAAGCATCGGAAAAAATGTCGTACCTACTCAAATCTTTGCTCTCGTCGTCAATTATACCAAATAGATTTTCAGTTAGCCAACTTTCCAATTCCGTCCAATCGACCCATTTTTCATCTAAATTAACGGATCTCCATTAGTTTTTTAATAAAATAATAAATTTAATTACAAAAACACCCCAGTAATTTTTTAAAATTTTAAAAATAATTCCTAAAATATATAAAAATAACAAAACAGTCTCTTTTTCACTTTTTTATTTTATTTTTCTGTATCTTGTTCTATTTCTCTTTACTACTTTTAATGACCATAAAAGTCTATTATATGAGTATTAAAAAAATATTTATTTATTTTCAAACTCTACTGTAAAAATTAATCTTTGTATAGTTGTAACCCATGATTGTATTTATATAAGTATGTTAATTTTTTTAATAATATAGTTTAGCAATAAGACACTATTTTTCTGATTTATTTTCTTCGTCCTAATATAAAGATTAAAAATATTTAAAATAAAACTAATATTCCACATAAAAATAAAATTTTAGCTCAAATAAAAAAAATATTAATATATTTTAGTGTATTACAATGTAACTCAAGAGACTATAACTTGCATTAATAGAACTCAAAAAAATAAATAAAATATAAAATAATTAAAACCTTAAAAAACATCCTCCAAACATAAGTTTTCCTTCTTGAATCTAAAATCTATTTTCTATCAAAACAACTTATTACTATATTGTTACCTCCATTCATTTATTTTAAACTAAAATTGTATAGAATAAGCTAGTAAGACTTTCTCTATAGTAAGATAAATTAATATCTCAAATAATTATTACAAAATGTTAAATCCTCGCATTGATAAGTATAAATATTTTTTTTATAAATTATATTATGTCATGTAGTCTCTCTAGTTAAATTGTAATACACTAAACTATACTAATATATTATTTTTTATTTGAGCTAATATTTTATTTTTATGTGGAATATTAGTTTCATTTAAATGTTTTTAATCTTTATGTTAGGAAGAATAAAATAAATTAGAAAAATAGTGTCTTTATTGTTAAACTATACTATTAAAAAGATTAACATGCTTATATAAATACAATCATGTGTTACAACTATACAAAGATTAATTTTTACGGCAGAGTTTGGAAATAAATAAATATTTTTTTAAAAATCATATAATATACTTTTATGGTCATTAAAAGTAGTTGAGAGAAATGGAACAAAATAAAGAAAAATAAAATAAAAAAGTGAAAAGGGACTATTTTGTTATTTTTATATATTTTAAGGGTTATTTTTAAATTTTTAAAAACTACTGGGTGTTTTCGTATTTAAATCTATTATTTTATTAAAAAACTAAAGGAGATCCATTAATTTGGACGAAAAATGCGCCCCTTGGACGAAATTGGCAAAAATTTCAAACATTAGGGTAAAGTTGGTTAACCAAAAATCTATTGGGTATGACTGACGACGAGGGCAAAGGTTTGGGTAAGAACGACATTTTTTCGTGGTGGTTTCAAATCATAAAATATCTAATTAAAAAAATTTTCATCAATGGAAATCAAATACAATAACAGTTAAAAAGGAAAAAAAAATCAAAGTAACAGAGAAAATATGAAAAGTTGAATTGTGTGGAAGGAATACCTAAATGGCTAAATTTGCCGAACAAACTTGAAAACTGCGTCAGTTATAATTCTCATGTTTGCGCTGGTATATATAGACATGGCCTACTTAGATGTCTAATCCATATACAAATCTGGTATTTTCCTCATTGTATCTAGATTTACCAATTTTGTAATTTTCTAATAAAAGGAATTAAGTAATATCCTATTCCCAGCATGATCAATAATCGGCGACCGCCACAACCTCATCAGCACCTCGACCGCCACCTTCATATCTACCTCATCACTTCGGCACCTCCAGCACTACCTTCACATCCACCTCATCCTAAATGCCTCAATCCACCTCAGTCCTAACTTCGTCACCCATGTCCACCAGCTGCTCCACCAAATCCTACAAGTCCTCCTTCAGTCTTTGCTTTCCAGCAGATACTACCACCTTCGCAACAACCACCACCTCCAAATATATCTCCTTCACAAACATCTCTGATAGGAAACACGAGATTTTGGTGTGTAGAGGCTGGCGGACGACGAGGGGAATGGGGTTTTTCTTTTTCGTTTCTGAGAGAAGTCCGAAAATGGGGAAAAGATAGATAAGGGACTGGGGCAATGCCGTCTTTGTGTTGATAGTGAGGAGTACAAAGCATCAACGTTTTGTGCCTTGGGGGTTTACCGCACAAACACTTATAGAGAACTACAAACGACGTATTTTTCCTGGGGGGTTTTTCCCCTCAAAAGATTATGGTTTTTTAAAATTGGGTTATGTTGTATTTATTAAATTCTATTTTTACTCCTAATAAGTTACTGACATCATATAACTCCATCCGACGGACGAGATTGCTTTGAAGGTGGTCCTGAATTTTCTTGGGCATTTAATTTCTTGCATGTTGTGCCTTTTATTTAAGTACTAGTGTTGAGGATACGTCGCGCAACATATTCAATAAATAATTTATTGTCTTTATTTTGGTTTTTGAAGAAGTCTGGTTTGTGTATAATGAGAGCAGTAAATTGTTGCACTTATAATTAGGTAATAAATAAAATGATGAATAACATGAGTCACTATTTATCTTAACTGATCAATTGATACTTGAAAAAATTTGGATAGAAAATTTGGATGAGAGACAGTGGAAGATATGTAATTAATGAAGAGGCCGGTATCTTTATATAATTTTTATTAAAGACATTATAATATCACTTCTAAACATGACTTTAACTCTTCATCAAACCAACTTTTACCCATATGAAGTCTAGTTTGTGTATAACTCTTCATCTAAAACAAAAAGCTTGTTGAATCTTATACAATAATTGTAGTGTTACATTCTGATGGAACAAGTCACTGAAATCTCCAATGATTTAGTTCTCTCCACCGCATTGTGCCAGACTACCGGAAATAAGCCCGCAAATCTCGGGTCCGTCAACCCTACTAGTCTGAAATGTGAGAAAATTGGGTGCTACCCTGGCTCCCCTCTCTATCCCACTTACGTCAACGCTGTCAAGCAAATCCCTTACAACATTTCCACCATTGAGATCAGTGCCCCCTGAAAAATTTGTGAAACTTGTTCTAGGGTTTACGGAGCAAGAAACACATACTGAAGGTGTATATATAGGGAGCATTTTTGTGAAATGAAGCTCATAAGAACTTTTCTTCTTTACTGATAATATATATCTATATACAAGTATAGCTAGCGTAGAGTGCAAGCTGCCACCTCAGCTAATATGTACAAAAAAACTAACTACTATACATGCTTATGTACGTATATACATTATACACACGTATAGATATTCAATATATACAGTATACTAGCCTAAATCTAGAATAGTCTTCATCACGTGATCATCAACTCAACATCTACCAACTCATGTTGATCCTTCTCGTTGACGTGGCCGTCGAGTTCCTCAATGTCGATAGGCTGGAAAACAGACTTTATTTCCTTGATCCCCCCCCTTCTCAAGCTTAGCTGGGGATTAATGAGAATCACAAAGCTGAAGCTTGGACAATAAGAATGTGAACTGAGGGGAGAGGAGACACTTGGTGAAGAGATCAGCGGGTTGCATCCGAGATGGAAGGTGATACAACTCAATAAAGCTTGCCTTGTAAAGATTACGAACCAAGTGACCATCAATGTCTAAGTGCTTGGTTCGTTCATGAAAGGCGGGGTTGGCAGCAATGTGTAAAGCCGTTGGTTATTACAAGTAAAAGAAATTGGCAAGGTGTCAGGAACCTATAAATCGAAAAGGAGATAGTATATCCATTGTGCCTCACAAGCAGCTAAAGCCATGCTGTGGTATACAGCTTCACAAGAAGACTTGGAAACTTTAGTTTGCTTCTTGGTTTTCCTAGAAACCAGGGAAGTACCTATGAACATCCAGTAACCACTCAGGGAGAAACGCATAACCGGGCAAGTGCCCCAACCAGCATCAGTAAAGATTGAAACATGCAAGTCATTATCACTGACACACCCAAAGAGGGAGTGCCTTTGATGTACTTAACCACATGTAAGGCAGCCTACCAAACACACCCAAAGAGGGAGTGCCTTTGATGTACTTAACCACGTGTAAGGCAGTCTACCATTGAACCTCTTTAGGAGAATTAACAAATTGACTTTGTTGAGTTGCATCGGTGAGATCAGGCCTTGTAAAACTTAGGTAGAGAAGGCGACCAACCAACCTTCTGTACTGCTCTCCAAACTGATGAGGAGGACTGTCTTTGTTGCGAAGATCAAGCCCTTTAGCCAGAGGTGTCAATTCCGAGGTACACTTTCAATTCTGTGATATGGATTTATTCTAATTTGTTTTATTATTATTATGTCACTATTTTGAAAATGATTAGAGCTTTTTATCTTCTGATCACGTACAGTGAATGCCTCCGGTTGTGGGTATTTATAACATCCCTAAAAACGTAAGTTCAGGGATAACAGTGTTTTAAACACTGAGATTTTTTTATTTTGTTATGGTTTTTGAATCATTTTGTTTTAATTTTTTCCACAACCTTCTTATGGTGAAGTGATTTGCTATGAATTATATGCAGACCAACCGAAAAGAAGTTGACTGTATGTTTCAAAGAAGATCAACATAGCCTCCTACAATTTTCAAGAGAGAATGAAAGTGAGTGTGTTTAGAAGTTTGGAATGGGTGCCAAGAGATGCCAAAAAAAGAAGGTTTTTTTTTTTTTCCTTAGAATTTGAGATACAAACGTTTCAAGTGCATTAATAATTTTAATGGATTTGTGTGTTTTCGGTTTCCCAAATTCTGATCAAGAAGATACTACTTCATCTCCGTTCTTTTATGCAAAAAGTGTTTTTGGTATCCAAATCCTGATCAAGAAGATACTACCTGCATCCTCTATAATATAACAGGTATGTGAAATGATCTTTTATTCCTATTAGAGATTCTACATCATAAAAAAAGCATTAAATGTGGCTTTGTAGAAGGAAGCCAATGAAGTGTTTGTAGTATTTGCATAAGTTCATCAAGGATTAAAGAGAAGGATTGAATACATCTTTATGTGAAAGGTGTTCTGATAAGTTAAACCTCAAGAAAGGTGTTCTAATTATATTATTCAAAAATGTTGACCAACAAGTTATGTTTGTACAATGATGTTATGATTCGAATTCTAAGGTAGAGTAAATGTATCATTCAAGTGAATGTAATAATTGGACAATAATGTCTTCTCTTCATTTACTTTACTTGTGCTGGATCTCACTTTGTCTAACACACTATATATCCATTCAAAATGAAGAGAAGAGGGCTTTATTTGGCCCTCAGTTTTGCAATAATGATAAATAAAAGTTAAGATCAACGTGTCTTCTAAGTTAGATTATGCTTGCCCTAACTAATTTCATCTGCATTGTATCTTACTTTTTCTCATCTATACACCATATATCTATTCAAAATTAAGAGAAGAGAGCTTATTTGGCTACTTCTTTCGAATAGTTATAAATAAAAGTTAAGATCGACGAGTCTCCTAAATTGTATTATATTTTCCATGACAAATTTTACTCATGACTAACTATATGTTGCGCTATTAAGAGTTATTTTGAAGCAGAATATATATTAAGAGCAATTTTGAGAGACTTTTTTCTTTCTGTTTTATAGTTGGCATCCAAAAAAGTCATACAATTCTCACATGTATGAAATATTTAACCATAATTTGAATACTATTCTACTTTGCATAAATTTAGAAAATGTAATGTTCATGATCACAATTATTAATATATATATATATATACACATAATACTTATTTAATTGTGATCTATCCCATGCAACGCACGGGTGTCATCTAGTTCTTTTCTACCTATAAAACTATATCTCAATGAAGATTTGCATCAAACTACTTCTGTAAGCATTAATCACAGAATATGAGTTAATATGTTATCCAAAGGTTAACCGGAAATTCTATCGTAGTAGTTTTTATTTTTTTCACCTTTTGATAGTACAACGTCGAAGCTCAGTCAAATCGATGTTGACTTAAATTTCAACCGTCTCCCACACTCACTCAAAAGACCAAAACAAATTTAATCTCATTTTGATCGATTTTGAATTCTACCGAAACTCCTCCGCGAAATCCTGTCAATTTTGTTGTAAACTCTTCCCGGGTCCTATCTCAATCCTCCACATCTCTATATAAATCGACCCAATTCCGTAGTTTTTTGTATCCATAATCTTTTTCCCAGAGAGTTTTTTCTTATCTGATCTTCTTGATCTTGATTGAGCTTTTATTTTAATTGCTGTTTTATTCTTTTCTTTCAAAAGTATAAACAGAGATGGACATTGATTTGAGTCCTAAGTTGCCAAAGAAGATGTATGGCGGTGACGGTGGGAGTTATCATGCATGGAACCCGGAAGACCTTCCGATGCTAAAGCAGGGAAACATTGGTGCTGGGAAGCTCGCTCTGGAGAAGAACGGACTTGCTCTGCCCCGTTACTCTGATTCTCATAAGTTGGCCTATGTTCTTCAGGGTATGTGATTCGGTTTTTATTAAAAATTTCTTGCTAATTTGAACTATAGATTGTTTGACAGTGCGAGGTTGATATTTGCGGACTATCAATTGTTTGAGTTTTGGTTTATGATTTTCTGGGATAAACGTCAATATTTTGTGTTTGGTTTACCTTTATATTTTGGAATAGAACTTTTGTTTTGTGCTGTTTGGGATCGCCATGGTCAAATTATGCAGTATTTATTTTTAATCTTGTTGTATTCGTTAGTATCTCTGTGCGATTGACTACAATCCTCTGAGGGCAATCTGTTCCGAATTTTCTTCAGGAGATGACAATATTATTATTTGAATAAGCAGAGTTGACTTGCCCTGTGGAAAAATGATTTTTGATTGAGATGTCACTTGGAAGTGTCTAGGTTGGCAGTTTAGTTGGTTGGTCCTTTTTGGTCCCTTTTGGTTGGGTTGATTGCTGGATTGTAGCGTTTGTGAATATTTTGAAATTCTGGAGTAAACCCATAAACCTTGGCTCATAAAGATGTATACTGTTTTTTGGGTAGGGGTTTTGCTTGAATAAATCACAATAAACTGTCTTACACTGGTTTCCATTCCCGTGTTTCTGCTGATCTTTTGTACTCATATAAATATCCTGATTATTCTTTGTAGTTTTGGCCAAAATATCTGGATACTAATGGCTTAACAACTTTTGATTGATTCAGGTAATGGTGTTGCTGGAATTGTTCTTCCAGAGAAGGAAGAAAAGGTTATTGCAATCAAGACGGGTGACTCCATCGCCCTTCCATTCGGTGTGGTCTCATGGTGGTTCAACCAGGAGGACACAGAACTCGTTGTCCTGTTCTTGGGAACTACTGATATTGCCCACAAACGAGGAGAATTCACTGATTTCTTCTTGACGGGTGCCAATGGTATATTCACCGGCTTTTCAACTGAATTTGTCAGCAGGGCATGGAATGTAGATGACAATGCTGTGAAAGCCCTTGTTGGAAACCAGAAAGCCAAGGGAATTGTCAAGGTTGATACCGGATTCAAGATGCCTGAGCCCAAGGCTGAGCATCGTAATGGCATGGCCCTAAACTGTATTGAAGCTCCCTTGGATGTTGACATCAAGGGTGGAGGCAAAGTGGTGGTTTTGAACACCAAAAACTTGCCATTGATCGGCGAGGTAGGCTTTGGTGGAGATCTTGTCCGCATCCTAGGCCATGCAATGTGTTCGCCGGGTTTCTCGTGCGATTCAGCTCTGCAGGTTACTTACATTGTTAGGGGCAGCGGCCGTGCTCAGATTGTTGGCCCTGATGGCAAGCGCGTGCTTGAGACAACTGTCAAGGCTGGTAACCTCTTCATAGTTCCCAGGTTCTGTGTTGTTTCAAAGATTGCAGATGATAGCGGGTTGGAATGGTTCTCCATTGTCACAACTCCAAAGTAAGCGATTAATACAAATGCTGGTTAACTTCTTTTGTTTCCTTAGTATCTTATTCTGATCTTAACTGTGATTTGTGCTTGTTGCAGCCCCATTTTCACACACATGGCTGGAAGAACATCAGTGTGGAAGGCCTCATCCCCAGAAGTGTTGCAAGCATCATTCAATGTAACACCTGAAGTGGAGCAGCAGTTCAGATCAAAGAGGATGGCTGAAGAAATCTTCTTCCCACCAAACTAAATGGAGCCATTTTCGTAGTTTGCAAAGTGTTTTTCTTTAATTAGTTTCATGGGCAAAAAGGAACCATAAGTCTTTTATTAGTAGGTAGTATCAGACGGGGGGTTTTTTTTTTTCATTTCCCCCCGTGTTGGACACAGAAATTGGTGCTCCTGTGTTTTTTCTAAAAGAAAAATATTGGATTAAGAAATATTCTAATCTTGAAATTTCATGTGCTATGTGGCCTATACTCCAATAGAGTAGTGATCTTAGAACTCTTCAACACCATGGAAATTTCATGCTTTATGATCTTAACGAGCCCCCCAATGGCGGGAAAATAAAACACGCACACCCAGACAGAAGAATAGAAGTGGAAATTTGGTATGTTAACAATGTCTGATATAGTTTTATTAGGTTAAAACTAGTTAAATCAAGACTTTTTTGTGGTAACTGAGAAGCCTAAAAGGTATGGGAGATCATTACATTTTTTTTAATGCTTCTTCGACTAGTATCCGATTTTAGCTTATATAAGGTTGGTATCCATTAACCTTAAATACATAATCATAATTTACAAATGTCATTTTTTTTAAGTGCCTTGTAAGTAAGAGCGAACTATATATTTTGGTGAAAAAATATACTCCCTCCGTCTCATAATTATTGTCCAGTTTGAATTTTTATTTTTAGTTCAAATTGTACTAAAAATGAAGTTTCAAATTAGACAATAATTTTGAGACAGAGGAAGTATTTTGAAGTGCCTTCTGAATAAGAGAAAATAATGCATAGTCAAAAGATATCTCGAAATGCTTTATAAATAAAATCGAATAGTGTATTTAGTCAAGGATTCCAAGCACTTCTACTTTATCCTTTTATTCCTTTCATTTTATTTACTGATAATGAGAAAAAGAAATAATTAGTGTGCTTCTCTTTATCCAGCAACAAATCACACAATTGGATATTTGGATTTAGATGTGATACTAATAAAGTTCAAGAGTAACTTTTTAATTCAGTTTTAAAATCTCACTAAATAAATAAATGATACTACTATTTGGATTTACCTAGCGTATACATAATTTATTCGGCGAATTTTCTTCATTCGTATTTTCTTTGTATGGAGTAATTTTCCGAAGATATAAAGAGAGCTAGTGATTTTTTCCTCCCGCTGCTCTGAATTCATATATTTCCTTCCCATGCTCAACTCACGAGCAGCATCATCGCTGAATATAATCCTCAAGCTCCAACATTTTGCCAATTTCCTCCGAACTTACCACCATGGTCGTGCTCAAAAATCTCACTCAAGAAGAAAACCATCCCATAAACGGAATCACAAGTTCAGAAAAAGAACCAATTTTGTTGAACATATTCCATTCCTAGATGAAGTCAAACAATGTGAAGATCCAGATGAAGCCCTCTCTCTGTTTCATGACTACAAGAAACAGGGATTCAAGCATGATTACCCTTCTTACTCTGCCCTTATTTACAAGCTCGCCCGGGCTCGCAAATTTGATGCCGTCGAGACCCTTTTGGATTGTCTCAAGAAGTACAACATTCGTTGCAAAGAGTCTCTTTTTATGGCTTTGTTTGAGCACTATTGCAATGCCAATTTGCCGAATAAGGCTATTCAGCTTTTCCGGGATATGACATCGTTTAATTGCGTTCGGAGACTCCAGTGTTTTAATGCTATTCTGAACTGTTTGGTGAGCAATGATTGTTTATCTGATGCCGATGGAATCTTTATGGAGTCATCCAAAATGGGTTTCCGATTGAACTCGGTTTCGTTTAACATAATGATCAAAATGTGGCTGCAGAAAGGGGAGTGGGATAGAGCTCAGGAGGTATTTGATGAAATGCTTGCAAGAGAGGTGGAGCCGACTGTTGTCACTTACAATAGTTTTATTGGGTTTTTATGCAAAAGAGGAGATGTGGATAAAGCGAAGTGTTTGTTTAAAGACATGGTGGAAAAGGGGAAGAGGCCAAATGCTGTTAGTTATGCTTTGTTGATGGAAGGACTTTGTTCTGTGGGGAAGTTTAAAGAGGCTAAGAAGCTTATGTTTGATATGGACTATCAGGGTTGTAAAGCACGGCTGGTTAATTACGGTGTCCTGATGACTCACCTCGCAAAGAGAGGTGAGTTTGATGAAGCTAAAGATTTGCTTTCTGAGATGAATAAGAAGAAGATTAGGCCGGATGTTGTAATATTCAATATATTAATCAACTATTTTTGCCAAAGAGGAAAAGTTGCAGAGGCTTATAAGATATTATCAGAAATGCAACTTGGAGCATGCAAACCTAATGCCGCTACTTACAGAATGATGGTTGACGGTTTCTGTAGAGCAGGTGAGTTTGAGGGTGGTTTGAAGGTGTTAAATGTAATGTTAAGTGGTAGGCATTTTCCTCGAACAGAAACATTTTTTTGCTTATTTTTAGGACTGATCAAGAGTGGGAATTTAGACAGTGCATGTTATGTTTTGGAGGAGATGGGAAAAAGAGAGAGATGGTTGGATTTGAAATCATGGGAAGCCCTGGTTCTAGATTCTTGTGCAGAAGAAAATGTTGATAGTAACTTGATCGCTGAACTTGTAAAATCCAGTTGATAGTAGTATAAAAGTTGAGAAACTTCGCCGGGTATTTTCTTTATCATTTCATTCCTGATCTGATTGGAGCTTCTGGTTCGAAATCATCTAATTGTTCAGATTTTAGTGGGAGGAGGAACTGATTTGAAACTTTGCAAGGGAATGTTAGGGCTTGGTGTAATCTGAAATTGTTGATCTCCAGTTGGTGGAACCTTTACCATTTAATAAAGTGTCCATTCCGGAAAAGAGTATGTTGTTGTGAAAGAAGTACAAGAAATCAGTAATCTTTGATCGGTCTTGCAAATAGCCGATTACTTGCTTGGAAGAGGATAAAAGTTCTTCAAGTCAATATTTCTGATCTTTCTTTTTTTTGTGCTTTTTCTGGACCTATTGATTTGAGAATCCAAAGATAAAGGTGCTTATATTACTGAATTCACTTCATACCATCATGGATCTTTATTATTTTGATACTCTGGAATTGCTTGTTATACCACCTAAACCATACCTTTTCTGTACAGAATATCCAACCAATACACCTATTTGATTGAGTGTTAGAAAACACCTACTCCATTTTATCAACTCCATATTCCAATTACATTCCATTCTGCCCTAGGACTAGACTATCAGTATGTATATATACCTGCAAGGCGCTGGTGAAACTCAACAAATAAAAAAGAAAAGCATTATTTTCCTTTTCTTGACTTTCTTTTTCAAGAGCTGAGGATTTCTGCTAGCAATCCTTCCCCTTCTAGCTTTGTCATCTCAAACTCATGGCTTCAGGCAACAAAGGACTGTTCTCCCTCCTTATTTTATTACTTGCATTTGCATGTGCTACCTCTTCTAGGATCCTAGATGAAGTAGTTGCCCCTGTTCTTCCTCCTGAAGACACTGGTGCAGAGCCTGTTGGTACTGCTCCTGGATCGGTCGGTAGTACATCACCAGCAGGCACTGCTGCTCCGGGAGGAGCAGCAGGTGCCTCTGTGGGCGCGGGTGCTTTAGGTGGAGCAGCAGGTGCCTCAGTGGGTGCGGGTGCTGCAGGTGGAGCAGCGGTGGGTGCAGGTGCTGCGGGTGGAGCAGCGGTGAGCACGGGTGCTTCGGGTGGAGCAGCAGGTGCCTCGGCAGGCGGTGCTGCTGACACACTCACTTTTTTCATGCATGACATTCTTGGCGGGTCAAATCCTTCAGCTATAGCTGTTACAGGGCTGGTAACCAACCCTGCAGTGGGTGGCCAAGTCCCCTTTGCAAAGCCTAATGGTGCAGTTCTTCCAGTAAACAATGGTGTCCCAGTAAACAATGCCAACAGTGGAGTCATCAACAACAACAACATCCCCTTCCTTACAGGACTCAGTGGTATGACTCCCAATTTGGTTCAGCAGAATGGAAACTCAATCATCGGTGGAGGGTTCGGCTTTCCAGCTCTAAATGTTGGACAATTCCCTAGTGGAATCACTTTTCAGAAACTTATGTTCGGTACAATGACCGTGTTCGACGATGAACTGACAGAAGGGCAGCAACATGGTTCTGGCTTGGTTGGCAAGGCACAAGGGTTCTACATAGTAAGTTCAGAGGATGGTACCAGCCAGACCATGGCTTTCACCGTGATGTTTGCAAGCGGGAGCTATGCCGACAGCTTAAGCTTTTTCGGCGTCCATAGAACTGCAGTCTCAGAATCCCATCTTGCCATCATGGGTGGAACTGGAAAGTATGTTAATGCCAAGGGTTTTGCAACCATTAAGACCTTCCCTGCAGCTACTAACCAAGTGCCTGTTACTGATGGCGTCGAGACAGTGTTGGAATTTACTGTGTATCTTGCGTATTAATCTTTGGACATTGACAATGTTTGAGATTGTTTGATGTGTGTTCTTTTGCTGAATATGTTTAGAATTTGAATGTTGAGAATTGAAAAATTCATGCTTCCAAAGATTTGTTGTATGACCACAATTGTGCAAATATAATGAACTTTTTCTACTTTTGTTCATGATGAACTCAGATCATGTGCTCTGGATTATACTGAATCACTTGTCCAGTTGTGGAACAACTCCCTGATACAATAGTAATTTAGTATTAATTCCGTTCCAAAACAATTGTTCAATTTGATCAAAATAGCAAAGGATAATATTCAAAGACTGGAATGAATGAGCATAATTAACGAACTTAGTTGATTTAAAGGTTACATCAAATTATTTTTATATTTCTTTTCCGGAGTGGTTGGCTAGCTCAACTTAGGCCTAAAAATGTTCATGGTTTTGATAGGAGAATTATTGTTGAGTGAGATATACATTTCTGTAAAGTGGAAAGTTGGGATTAAGAAAGCAATTTGGAAACATTTTGAAGAAGGGCTTAACCTCAACCTTAAACTGGATTTTGGCCCAAAAGATTGGGAAAAAAACTGAAATGAACAGTTTTTCATTGTTAAAGTACGGAAAATCCGAGTAAATCTTCAGTAAAGACGACGTATCACGTCAGTCAGCTGTTCATCCTATATACAAAAAACGGGAAAGGTAATATTTTTACGGGAGAGAGAAAGAAATTAATGTGGCTCAAAAGAATAAATATGAATCCCTGTTGGTTGGATGCACTAAAAGGTGAGTACATCTGTTGTATATTAGATTTTCTCAGAAAGTTCACACAGTAAATTTCAATAATATGATTTTGCGAAAAATAAACGCTGTTATTAGAATTTCGCGGAATATGTTGTCTTTCTATGAACATACAATGTGAGTCGATATTCCATTATTATCACATTTTCGTCATCAGATTCCTGATAACATTAATCTTTGCTAACAAAATTGGCCCAACTTCGATGACTTCAAATTACGTTTGAACTTTGGCGAGTTCTGTATTCTTTTTGTCTCCCAAAAAAAGTCTTATTTATTTTATTACTCACTCTGTTCTAAAATTATTGTCTAATTTGGGTTTGCATTTTTAGTTTAAATTGTATTAAAAGTGAAATCTTAATTTTGGGACAGAGGGAGTAATTTATTTCAAGTTATATATGTTACGTTGGGATGAAGGGGTAAGATAAGTTTTGGTCCATCTAAATATTGTTGGCAAATTGGGGTGGTTAATTTTTCCTTTTAGCAAATTGGGGTGGTCCGTAAAAAGGATTTTTTTATGTATTTATTTTTTGCTGGCAGTCCATCAATCAACTTCAAAGCCGGTCTTGATTTAGAAAGGTTTCTTATTTCTAAACATAATGCAATCGTAAAGCAATAAGTACAAATCAACAAAGCAGACATCTTCCCGGCAATAAAGTCGAAGAAAAAAAAAAATCAAAGGAGAAAGCGTTTGTGGATCATCAAATGTGGGCACGAATTGCAAGATGATTAAAATCTTTCTTTGGCTTTGGTTCATTAATCTCTATGTACTGCAGTATCGCATCACGTCAAGTTTACCAATCCTTTTCACCTCTTACTGACTCTTTTTGGCTAAATGTATTAGTACGGCAAACAGAAGTCTGCTCTACAAACCTTTATATGGAACCGTGATCCTATACATGGTGTTAAAAACCTTAAAACTTCTTCTTCAAAATAATGTCTCCTGTTTGGACAATCCGACTGAAAATTTAGCATATGAAACCTCTTTTGGTATGTTTTCTTCGAATTTCAGTTGAATTAAACTGAAATAAATATGTTATCAAATTCATTAGAACCTTAACTACCAAGAAGAATGAAAGTACAAAAGGATTCATGTTAAATAAATCCATTGAAACCCATAGTGTTTTTATTTTGTTATACTCTTTTTGTCCTAGAAAAATGGTACATAATGATTTTTGCAGTTTGTACTAAAAGCAGTACAAATTTCAAAACTCGGTGTGAACTATTGTTTCGGTCTGACAGAAGGAGTATTTAAAAAAGTTCAAAATCACCCAAAGCTTTGATCACATTTTAAACCACTTTGGCCTAGCAGACCTTCTTTTCAGCAGGCTTGAATTTTGGGACAACATCGTCAGCAACAGCAGCATTGGGTAACACAGACGGCTCCGCTTTCTTCTCATCAACAACTGCCAAATTTCGCAAGGAAATTACCTCAGCATCCACAAGGTATGGACCCGAGGGAGGATCAATAACATTGGGATTGGTTAAATCATACGCAAAATACACGATCGCGCCGGGAACAAAACCGGCAGTGTAAAAAATCCTGTTTAGCGTCTTTCAATATCTGTTTTGGAGGAGTTGTGTATACGTAAAAGGGCAGCGCGGGATGATTGATCACTTTCTTTAGAAGATCAGGGAGATTCTGAATTGTTTCCTACGGGCGAAACACGGCCTCGATCGTGTAATTATCGGGGAAACGAACTCGGATTGTCACATCCTTAGTTAACCACAACCTTCGACGAGCAGCCTCCTCGGATTCTCGGATTTTTGCGAGTTTTTAGATACTTATTATTGTCTTCCTTCTTCTTCTCAATCCTAGCTAAGCTTCCAACATTTTACATGGATAACACAGATATTTGCTTATTAGATCTCCCAATTTAGTTTTACTTAGCAGTGTGTGTGTGTGTGTTATTTTTTTGGGGGAATTCATGTCCTACCTAGAACTATTCGTTAGAACTACTAATTAATCAGCACTTTGTACAATCGTGAAGAGATATGTCCTCATGTCTGATAAACAACATTCTAATTTGCAAACACAACATTTTGGGTTTGCAAAACCAAGGGAGTTAGTGAAAACGCGAAAAACAAATGCAGTCATCAGCAGTTGAATAACCGACAAAGACCAAGGGCCACAATTGGTGCGCCGCCCAGGAAAAAAATATAAGAAAAGATTACATATATTCTTTAATAAACCAATTTCATGGGTTACTAGTTATTTTCAAGCCCCGCTACGCAGGGCCCTCTATTTGCAAAATGTAAAATTAAACTTCTTTTCCGTAAATTAATGCAAGTATAATACTAACATTCTAAATTAAATCTATATTTTTGTAAATTGAATTTCTCTTTCACAATTGAGATTAAATGCGAAAAGTAATTACAAATGTATAATGCAAAATGATTAACGAAGTAAACATTTTTTTCTCTGAACAAAACAAAGAGTTAATGAGAATTTACATTGGTTGAGATTGAAGAAGTCGATCGAATGGACTATGGAGAGATTTTGAATTCGAATCCCAGAAGGTAAAAATTGAAGCAAAAGGTTTTTGCATTTTTCCCTTTTTTTCAAAAAAAAAAAAAAAAAAGAAAGAAGAAAAGAATAAATCATAAACAAGTAGTACTCGGTCATTAACAAGTGGAACATCCTGATCCACTTAATGCTCCTAAAAACTCTGGACTTCAAGATTGGATGTGAAAATACATAAATTTAAGTTTTAAGTTTAAATAGAAATAAGTTCTGTACTAATGAGAAATGAGTCCCTGCGCTATTAATTTATGATATTTTGGGTTAATTTTAAAATATTCTTTCTCTTTTTCTCTTTTATTTGATTCCTACTTTTTTTAATTTGGTTGGGTTGATTTATTAGTATATACGTTTCTTCGAGTCAAATTTGCAGAAATTATATGCCCCGTACACCACTTTTATTTTTTTGTTTTTTTGTTTTTTTTTTGTTTTGGGTAATTATACACCACTTTAGTTATATATAAGAATTCTTATGTCAGTTTCAATAATCGACAAGTCAGCCATATAACACTAATGTATTCATCTGAATGCTGTGACTCTTTGAACAGTTCTTAGAAGCTATAAAGCAAGGCATAATCAATTAGATTACACCATAATAATTTTTATTTATTTTTTGGATAAAGAAAATGATCAACTCTGCTACTGTATGAACTGTACAATGCTTACTCATAAGTTGACACAAGTATGTAAAGTGGAGGAGTAGAAACGTCTGTAGTATTCTCTAGACTTTAGAAGGTGAAGATCAACGTGAGATGGCGAAAATGTCCATGAAAACTGACAACTACTGTAGATTTTAGGATTCCCACATTATATTAGTAGTGGAAAACATATATTTACATTAATTAAAATATGTAATATACTATATTCAACAAATTTAAACTTCTTTAGAGTTTACTACTAATTTCTTTTCGGCCGTCCAATGTTTTTGTTTCCGGTCAATGAAAGTAAAGTTGATATTACCTACTAGTATAATTTTTATATAATCGTAGAAGAGAAAAAGTAGATGCAAAGTGCTCGATCTTATAAATATTGTTGGATTAAGATTTCTCTTTACTTTTAAACCAAAGAATTAGCCACAATTTATTCCAAATACTAAGAAACTCTTTAGTCTTAAAAAGCCAAATGAAATGAAAGGAGATTCAATTGAAAGAGAATCCACCATATATAAAGTAGATCGTCCTTGCCTGGTCTCCCCACCCCCAATCCACCCCGAGTAAAATGTCTAAAATATCAAAATTGTAAAGGCAAATTTTCCCAACTTCTTTTTCTTGACAATTTGACCATTATTCTCTATCCTGCTTTACTACAACAAACGAGATAATAATTTGAAATACAAAAAATAATACTCCCTCCGTCCCATAATTATTGTCCACTTTGCCCAAAAAATTTTGTTCCAAAATTATTGTCTAATTTGACTTTTTATGGATCAAGTTATACATTTGTCCTTAGCAAAAAACATTATCCATTAAAATCTTTGTGGTTAAATAATTAATTATATAGTGTATATCCGGTTGTTCAAGGTAAAATATAGTTAATTTGACTTAAAATAAAATCTTTTATTTTAGTAAAACTGGACAATAATTATGGGACGGAGGGAGTAGTTTTTTTTTCATGATCATTCCTAAAAATTTATCATATGTGAAAACAGTATATGCCCTCCATTCTCACACAGGAAAAAAGAAATAATTACGTTATTGAAATTAAAATAATATAATGAACAAAACGTTTCTCTCGAAACACAGTGGGAGTAAATTAAATCAGAGCCATCGCTCTCACAAGGGGGAAAAAAAGTTAGAAGTATCTCTAAACAAAAAGAAAATCACTAAAGAAAGATGAATTACACAAGTGTTGTTTTATTAGAGGAAGGGGAAAAGATTATATATTAACAATCAATTATATAACAAAACATATAGTGCTCTTTCATTTTCACACTGCAATGGAAAGACCGATTCTGAGGCCAAAAGGAAAAGGCCAATAAGAACTCTCAAGTGGCCTACACACTATACAGTAAATGGCATATATATCCATACAGAACGAAATGAATATCCACAATCGAAGGCTTTTAAGTTCAAAAGAAAACGGAAAAGATTATTAAGAAAAAGAAAGAAAAAAAAAGTAGCAGATTTATATTTGCATCCAAACCAACCCACAAACAATACATCCAATTTTTCCACGAATGCAGACCTTAGAAGACACCGCATGCAAAAATGCAATAGTGCTAAAAACCTGTTTTTTCCTCGTGGGGTATGAATAATCATGACTATTCTCATATGTTATTTCATTCTCAATTGTAACCGTTGAGAAATAGAATTTCAGATCGGTGTCGTAAAAGATCTGTCATATGTTTATAACTGTTATTTTATGCGTTATCTGTCCTACATTGCCACCGTCAAGAGAAGTGACTCAGTATATAAGTTTCAAAGGCCATCTCACTCATTGCCAATTAATTTTGAGATGAGAGCCCAATGTACTTATATACTTTGACATGGTATCAGAGGATTTTGGAACTGTGGTGATGTCCTGGGCTGGAGGTGGCCCATGGTGATTTTATGTTATCCCACTTGAGCATTGACTCGTGAGTTTATTATGGACCGATCCAGCAGTATAACTGGCTTTTCTCCCACTTAAGCATTGACTCGTGGGCTCGTTGTGGACCGATCCAGTGGTATAACTGGTTTTTTCCTACTTGAGCGTTGATTCGTGGGCTATTATGTTCTTGTCCTAATCCAAGTCCATTGGACAAAAAGTTCAAAGACCCATTGAACTTGAGGGAGAGCGTTAAAATGTATTATCTGTCCCACATCGCCACCGTCAAGAGAAGTAACTCAGTATAAGTTTTAAAGGCCACCTCACTCATTGTTAATTAGTTATTGAGAAATAGAATCCCACATCGGTGTCGTGAAGGATCTGTCACCTGTTTATAAGCTCCAAAGATCAACTCACTCACAGTCAAGTAACTCAGTATAAGTTCTAAAGGTCACCCCACTCATTGTTAATTAGTTATTGAGAAATAGAATCCCACATCGGTGTCGTGAAGGATCTGTCACCTGTTTATAAGCTCCAAAGATCAACTCACTCACAGTCAATGTCACCTGTTTATAAGCTCCAAAGATCAACTCACTCACAGTCAATTAGTTTTAAGGCCAATTCACTCACACCTGTTTATAAGCTTTTAAGGCCAATTCACTCACACCTGTTTATAAGCTCCAAAGATCAACTCACTCACAGTCAATTAGTTTTAAGGCCAATTCACTCACAGTCAATTAGTTTTGAGTGTGGAGCCCAAGGTGGATTTGTCATCTATTTATAAGCTCTAAAGGTCAACCCTTTAGTGAATCAAGGTTTATCTCATCAATAAATGAATTTAGTTGATTCTTTTCTCATTCAGATTTTCAATAATGACTAATTTACTAACGTCTGAAAACATCAAATGTTCAAACAACATTCGTATAAAACATAATTCTAACTAAGTACAATATTTTCTCTTGTAGATTCCATTCGTGAAATAATCTACGAGCGTTAGGGTGAAAAAAAAATATACATTGATTTCCATCGGAGGCTCCACATTTAGGCTATGCAATAATGTACATTTTAACTCTGTGTTTGGCCATGACAATGCTAGAACATGATGACCCAGCCTTTATAGTACACTTCCGGATAAAAGGTCCTTCGTGTCTTCTTTATAATTATTTGAAATATTATTTGATAAAGTTAGGTCAGAGATTCAAATGATTTCATGTGTTGTAATGAACCCTTTTCTTAAAATTTAAGGATAAATTAATAATGACTCCTAATTCATGGCTTCATGTATTCATTAGTTTGAGTATTTTTGCAGAAGCAAAGGGAATAGAGGATCCTAAGAACTTAGTCAATGTGATCTGATATGATTAAGCATGAAATAAGATTAACTCTTTGCTCCGTCTTTTGACCTATAAGGGTAGTTTAAAAATATGTCTTATACATTTGTCTGGAAACGAGATTAAGTATCCACATGGGAATATTGTGCTTTTGAACTTAGAAAATTTGAAAGAAAGGTTTGGTAGAAATTTTTTAAGGCTTTTGTTCTTTAATTTGAAACTTTCAACAAGGAAATAAGGGCAATCCCACATTCCAAAGTAGTGAACAGGGTTACTGTGAAAGTGTTGGGTAAATACCACCACATTCCCCTGAAATGCACCATCTGGAAAGTAGCAAAAACAAGTAAAATAGAGGGGAATGTCTACAGACAAAGATTCCAAAGCCAAAGTAGGCTTCTAAATTAATCAAATTAAACAAAGAAAAAGGTTACTTATCCCCAAATGATCATTCTTTATTCTATTAAAAAAAAATAAATCTTCACCAATAACAATACTTCAAAAACATTCAGCAGATGCCTGTTACTTTACCAACCCTCCATTCAAAACAAGTGTATTTACATAAAGAAAAAAAATCCACAACCAAACGATATTGTCATTTTAAGCAAACTCATATTACTAATAACAAGCAGTTTCATGTCACTAAATAAGTAATCAAAAACACGTTCTTTTTCCTTAATACGAAACAATACTCATATCAGAAGTGGTTGTACTGGTTGATGAAGATGAATTAGAGGTTGAAGAAAAAGTTGGTGATGGCCAAAACTCTGCAAATTTAACCTTGGAAATGCTGGTCAGCACGCCTAGAGGTGTCACATTCCCAATTACAGTTACTTTTTTTGTGGCAAGATCTATGCTGAATGAACTCACTCCTGCACATTTACCCAAACTGTCTTTTTTAGTACCACGTAGTACTACAATAATAGCCCATACTTAAAGTTCCATGTTTACCGCAACCGTTACTATTAACATTAACAGAAACAAAATAAAAAAAAAAAACAATTCTCTAGTTTTATTTTATTTTATTAAGAAATATTTGATGGTACACGGATATGAAATTACCTTCCATTCTTGAAATGTGCTTCCGGATTTTACCTTCACAACCCTTGCAATGAATTGATACCCTCAACTCTACAACCTGCCAAAACCCACATAAATAAATAAATACAAATGAATAAATACCATTTTTAATAACTAAAAATTCCCAATATAGATATATAACATGAATCAATAAAAGAATGTTTAAAAATGAAAGTAAATCCAACCTGATGATCACGGGGTCGACTCGATTTGTCAGAAGGATGGGATTCATCTTTGCATGTTGTCAATGATGATGATGATGGTGGTGGTGGTTTAGTCGCGTGTGAAGAATTGCTCACGCGAGACAATGAAGATTTTTGGACATGGAACTCATCATTTACCCGTGATTTTTGACCATAAACATGATGATGATGAGGTTGATGATGATGATTCAAACGCGACAACGAAGATGAATGCTTCTGAGAATGTAAATCAACACTTCTACGGGATAATGATGATACAGAAGAAGAAATTTCGAAAACAGGATTATCATCGTACGAGTAATTGGAAGATCTAAAAACAGGAGATTCCTTAAAATCACTATGCCTTTTGGAAGTATTAATGCTCTTCAAAGGTTGTCTAGGTGGAGGGTTGACATCAATTTTGGACGAGGAATTATAACGGTGATGATGAAAAGGTGGAGGTGGTGGTGGTGGAGGCAGAGGAAGATCGTCGTCGGAATATATGTCAAGTGATAATGGAATATCACTCAACAAATATTTCGACGACGACCAAGATGAATTATCCCGAGAAGTACTATAGAGGTCGGTGACGTCAGCCGAGCTTTTTCTTCGTAGAAATTCAAGGTTTAGCTTTGGGGTGGTAGTAGTAGTTGATGAATAAGAAGATGTGCTCTTCCTATACTTTTCAAAATAATGTCTTGGGCTAATGGGAATTTCGGATGAACATGGGATGGCTGGAGTTTTAGCTTTCGTTTTCGTTCTAGATTTGCTCCGGTGATGATGATAATGATAGTCATCACCGACGCGACGGTGGATATGGTCATGAAGTGACCTAGTTCCGCCGTGACGGACCATCTTACGTTGGTCCGTGCTTGAACATATAGCCGTGGATGCTGGGGAGGCACAAAAAATGTCAATGGATTTCATGATTTTGTGATAGAGAAGAAAAGAGAAAGGATGAGGATATGGAAGAAAGAGGATTTTGAGGGAGGAATTTTGGAAACAAGTTCTAGGAATGTGCTTATAAAGTGGTGGTAAGTAAAGAAGATGATGATGAATTAGAGAAAGAGCTGAAAAGCAAAAAAACAAAGAGGACGAAAAAGGAAGGAGCAAGGGGGTCCCAAGCCAGCAGAATTGTTTGGATTAACAATCAAGAATTTTTATCTCAGACCTGGTAATTTGGAATTCCTCTCTTTTTCTATCTTGGCTGGGATGATAATAGTATTTAATAAATCAATTGGTTTGATTAATTTCCTGTTAATTAATTTTTTAGAGTTTATTAATTCAGCTTTTTTCACACTTCGTTTCAAAAACAAAAGTTTAAAGAATGTGCTAGAAAGCACTTTTTTGTACATTATTAAGGACAGAAGCTGATTGAATGTTAATTGCTCTTTTTCAGTCGAAAATAAAAGTATACTGGGAGTATAAGAGAGTTAGAAAAGAAATTTGTTGGATATTGGACATTTTTCGTTGCTACTAGACAATTACTGGAAATAGGGGGAGGCAAGAGTGTGTAAAATTCTCAACCCTTTCTTGCAAATCGTGATAATAATTACCATATCATTGCTGCCTACTGAATTGAAAGATGAAACTGACCATAAGGAGCCTAAGAACTAGGCTAATTTCTTCATTCAGAATGAGGACCATGTACAGTATAAAGTCATGTCTAAGTCTAAATGTCTTGCTAACCGAAAGTAGCCCTCTTTTTGTTTTCTTGCCTTCTTCTTCTATTATTATCTGGTTTTTCACTGATCCACAAGTTACCAGAATCGTCCCTTTCCTTGTCCATATCATCTATCAATTTCAAAACCCATACTTTTGTGTAGATTTTTCTCAAATTTGCAACAATTTCATCTAAATGGGTGCTGCTTTTTTTCTTAGTTTTTTGTCCCCTCTCTCCGGTTGGAGGGGGATGTGTGTGTGTGTTTTTTTTTATAAGTAAATACGATTTGAACTCGTGATCTATTATTTAAATTTGACCGGTCTATAAACTTATTGATGATCCATATCATGGGGTTGCAATGGAAAAAAAAAAAAAAAGAGTTTCTAAAAAAGTGCTTATTACAGTGAATATGAAAACGTAGAATGCATCATTTTCTTAAACTTCACTCCTACCTACTATTTGAAATCAACACCTTCATCATATCAACTAGTCAAAAAGTAACGGTATGGATAACAAATATGAAATTGAATTATTTTTATAGGGAGAAGACTATGTTGGCTCTGATTTTGATTCCTTGTATTGTCGTTGCTTGCCTGTGACTTTTGCGTTTTTGCATGCCTGAATTACACTGAATTCTGGGACGATCATCATTAACAAAGTGCCTTCACATATAATTCATCGACACGAATCTCATTTACTGATTTTGTTCTCTAAGTGTACAACGAAGTAGACTCTTAAAATGAAACCATATTTTTAGCAATAACTATGTCAAGAGGATTAATTTTAATCTTTATACGATTTGTCACTATAAGTTTAGTCATAGTTAGAGTAGGATGTAGTCGATGGACATTTCTAATTCACGTTGTACTTAGAGTTGACGTAAATTTTAATTGGCAATGAAGGGAATAACACATGGGGTATATTTGTTGATCAAGTTGGTTTCTCAACTCCAATGTGAGACGAGTGGAACATGCGACATATTTTCATTCTTACATTCATTTAACACTTTCCTTCTCTATACATTAGGGGAAAAGGACTGCAGGATAACAAACAATTTAGATACGGTATATTAAGATAATATTTAACGAGTATATATATGACATTCTGACCAATTTTCATTTGTTCTTGGTGATGAACTCGTTTCGAGGAGGTAACCCTAACAATAGACTGATTAGTCTTATTCATTAATCGGGATAATTAAATGTCATTGCATGCATCAACCTATAAACTATAGGCTCTAATTAATTAAGCATCTTTATTAAAATATAGCATTAGCTACATATATACAGTATGTAGATTACGTCAAAAGAATGATGCCAAAGAGCTTAATTTCAATGAGAGTTGTTGAGGTTTCCGGATTTGGGGACCCAGATTTCAGCAATTTGATAGGAGAACACAAATCTAATCCCACGTCGGAGTTTATAACGTAGTACTATAAACTGTGGCAAATTGCAAAAGATTAAGACAAACAAGAATCTGCTAATTAAGAATTGATTACTTGCCGCAGCTAGTACTTGGTCTTGGACTGAAAACACACACAGACACTCACGCACTAGGAATCTTAACTGCATGTGATACTAATTGATTGTCATCTCTGATTTATGGAATTTTAGCCAGAATGATACTACATTATTATATAGAGCAGTTGTACCATTTTTACCGTTCTGTTGCTTGATATTTTTCGCCTTCTTTTTTTTTTTTTTAAAAAAGAATATTTCAACCGTTATTAACTGTACGTTTGGCCTTCATTTCTGGAATAATTGAGTCAGAATGTAAATCATACAACTACAAGAGTTCGCCGTTGAGGTATAATTTTTTAAATTATAAAAATTGGAATTATAGCTTGGGAGGTTTCTTATTATATTTCTTAATCTTGATATGGAGCACTATTGTTTTCTCACTCATTTAGAACACCTTATGGTTCCAAAAAGAAAAAAAAAATGTTCGAGATTTTAGCAAATTGCTAATATAAATTCGATCTGGATCATCTCAAACAGCAGTTTGATTAAAAAAGACCTTGTTAAAGTCTTTCAAAAATGAATAAAAATTTAATCAAACTGTGGTAGCAAATGGGAGCAATGATTACACTTTTGGGAAATGGGGGAAAATGTGTTGAGATTCAGTTGGCCATTTGGTTCCTTTTTAGCCAAATTAATTGGATGGTATCATAATTACATACTGATATTATTCACTAATTAGTTAGGAGAGAAAGAAGAAAAAGCAGTACTAATCAAAGTTGACTAATTCTAAAGTTAAAAGAATTTTAACTAACTTGCCCCAACTTTAACTGCACTTTGGAATTTATAATTCCGAATTGGCTACAAAGTTTTTCTTTGTGCCATAAATCATCATTACAACCAAGTCATCTGTACTTCATTCCAGCTTCGACTGACTTGGGATTACACTTCATGATTATCCCGAGATTAATTTTTTAAGATTAACGCTAATTATTTCATACTCCCGTCCCATCGATGAAAAACCAAAAAGTTTAACCCATAAATTTTTTTTAGTCGCTAATTGTACTCTATAACTTTTTATCGTTTTGGGATTCAGTAACCAGTTCTAAGCCATAAATTGCAAAAGTTAATGATTATAAGTAGAGTGTTTGTAATTTGCTGCAATAAGATCACACCATAACAAATTAAAAGGTGATATAAATATGCAAAGCTATATATGATAATGATACAGATAAAATTTACTCTTTTAGGTGCAAAATGTTGAGAGCTGTATGTATAGACTAATGTACAGGGGTATATATGAAATGTTAATAAATATTGATTAGTGACACAACGCATGGTATACTAACCCACTGTTCCTCTGCCTGAATTTTGGGTATGATAATGAGGATGTCTGTTTATCCATTTCCAGACGTACGCCTGAATTCGTTTGTGTGGGTCTTGCTCAACCGTACGTTCTCAAGGCTAGTCTTCCTTTTATCCATCAACATGCGTGCGATTAAAGAAAAAGTGGGGGCTTTCTTTTTTTTTTTAGTGGATGGATTATTTATATTGATTAATTAATAAATTTAGTTAATTTCACTTTTTATCCTTAATTTATTTAATTTAAATTCGAGAGCCTTTCATCTTTTCTTGGTACGCCTAATTGCACTATATCTTCTAAGTATTTTATTTGGTTATTCAATTTCGGTAGGTGTTTCCCTCGATCCACTTTTCCAATTTGGTATACTAAATATCTTTAGCTTAATCCTGATTTTCTTCTTCTTCATTTTCTTTTTAGGTCAATAATTTACGTAATACATCGATCAATCCTCACCCTGGTTTAGGGGAAAAGAACAATTGATTATTCCAGAAAAGTGCTTGCATGATGGTACATCAGATAAATTGTATGGTAAAAGAAGAAAAAGAAAGAAAAAAAAAGGGTGCCTTCTTGAGAGAGGAACGGTAAGATTTGAATCAACTCTCCATTTCATATTATCAGTAAAACCGTAACTATAAATAAAGGAAGTCTATAATCCAAAAGAAAATTACCTAAATTAAAAGACAAAAAAAAACTTTTTCTCTTTCACTGTGGGCGAAAACACGCCCACTGCGTGTATTCGTCCAGATCTCCGACATAAGTCTACAATGGCGAGGAAATCAAAGAAGAGAGGGGAGGTTATGAAGAGTGATAGCAGGCAACAATCTGGAACAGAAAGTGATCATTCAGAAGGGAAGCTAACTCATGGTGACGGTAACTCGAGGAAGATCCAACTCAGTTCAAACTCAGGTAAATCATCTAATCCGAACCTGATTTTTGAAGATCTGAGTAAACGGAAGGTGATTGAGGTTGGTGAGAGCTCAAATGTTAAGAATCAAGTACGATTTGATAAATTTGAGATTGGTGAGGTAGCTGGGGATAAAGGTGTTTGGCAGGGGTTTGATCCTAAAATCTTAGTTCCGAATAAGAAGAAATTGAGCTTTATTGAACCAAAGGTTGTGAAGGATAGACTTCTAACGAAAATAACTAAAAATGAGATCCAGAATGAGGTTGAATACTGGAAGTCATCCATAATGTGTTATGTCTTGGGAGCTAAGTTACCATTTCCAGTCATGAATGGTTTCGTTAGAAGGTATTGGAGTAAAAGAAATGTAGACAAGGTTTTGCTACTGGACAATGGTGTGTTTGTGGACCTATTCCGCTAGGGTTTCAGGAAATAGGTAACACCACCTCTATATAAAGAGGTGGTGCCTCTCCCATAATACATATCTTCTACCTATCTTCTACACCTTCTACACACGATACACATTCCTCTCTCTCTATTATCTCTATTCCCTTATTGACTTAAGCATCGGAGAGTCTACCCTCGGGAGACACCCGAGGCTCTGTCTTGCAGGTTTTAGGCCGTCCGC